ACATAATATCAAGATAAGCATAATAAATATTTGATATCTATCAATTAAAGAAATAAAATTACCAGGAACAGAAATGACTCGATTTTTCTATCTTTATGGCTGTTCGAAAAACTAATGCAGGATTTTAGTTATTTAAAATGAAAGTCCATAGAAATATAAAAACTGATTCTTCAACTGAAATGTTTGCAGAATTATATAATTTTATAACATGGTTATAAAGTTTATAGTATTTAAGTGAAGGTTTAGAATTGTTTCAGTCAGAGCATGTTGTGCTTGCTGAATACCACGTTACCAGTTGTTATTCTAAGATAAGCTCTTATGTCTACGATGTGTCTTTATTTTTGCCGATAGTGCTGTCACGCCGGTGGAGGCTTAAGAGCCAACTTTCGCGTTTAAATAGCTTTGCGTAGCATTTGTATAGTAGCTACTTAGATTTAGTTTCAATTAAAATTCTACTTTTGAATTCACGCCAAAAATGCTGGCCGATTTGTAAGCACCAGTTGTGCTTTCTGTTTAACTTGTCCTACTTTTTAATAAAGTAAGTTAGATTCTACGTTTCCATTAAGTTGCACTCTTCTTGAGTGCTGTTTCTTCTTAAGACATAGCGATAAATCGATAACAGGTCTGTTTGAGGATTTGCTGCAAATATTAATTTAGAAGTCAAACAACAAAAATCTGCTTTATATTTTCAAATTTTCACAGGCTAGTTTCGATGGTTTTACCGAACCATCATCCTCAGCTGCAAAAGCGCAAATGATCGAGATAAGATATAATGCTTAGATAAGATAAGATAAGAAAGCCTGGACAAGGGAATAAGCAAGTGGCGCCATCTGTTGGCGAAACCAGAACTAAAACATAATTTCTCTAAAAGCCGAAGGCTTTAAAAAAAAGGATTGGAATTAGGGTCGTTAACTAGAACAGAAAGATTTTTTTGAATGTGAAATACCTCTAGAAAATCCAGTTCACCAATGGAAGATGTTTTTTGAATAATTTTGGCAGCAGAAAAATTGAAAGTGTGATTTTCGGAACAACAATGGTAGGCAACAGAAGACTTCTAACATATGCCTCATGTTCCTTAACGCGAAATTTTAAGGCTCTCTTAGTTTGGCCAAAGTAAATTAAACCACACTGGCAAAGAATCCTGTAAATACCCCAGGAATTCATATCCGGAATGGGGTCCTTGAGTATAGAAGTTGGAATTTTATTGATGGGAGAGTAAACAACCCGAAAGTTCAAATTTCTGCAAAATATGTGCAACTTTATAGCTAATTGATGGAAAGAAGGGAATGACAACAGAATTTTTATAATCTCCTAAAATACAAGAGTGTGCTTTTAGTGTGTTGAGATGAGAATTTTTTAACTGCTTGATTAATAATGTTGGGTGAAAAGCCCCTGTCAATAGCTATTGCTTTTAAATAATTTAGTTCTTCATCAAGGGCTAGTTTGGAGGAGCAAACTTGAAGAGCACGGAAAACATAGGAATAAAATGAAGCTAACTTTTGTTTAGTCGGATGACATGATTTAAAGTGTGGTGGAAGGCAAACCGATGAAGGTTTACGGTAAACTGTAGTACTGAAGTTGGATGTGTTACGTGTGACCAGAATGTCGAAAAACGGAAGAGAATTGCAAGTCTCAAGTTCAAAAGTGAACTGAATAGCAGGATCAATAGAATTCATTGTTGAAAGAACTTTATTTAAATCATCTTTATTACTTTCAAACAGGGCAAAAGTATCGTCTACGTAGCGGAATCATACTGGGAAATTTAAAGTTTCAAACAATTTTGATTCATAATAATGCATGTAGATATCAGCCAGGATGGGACTGATGGGGCTTCCCATGGCTAATCCCTCAGTTTGCTTGTTATATTTATTTTGGAAAAAAGAAAATGTGTTTGTTTCAAACATAGTTGAGTGAGAGAAATTAGCTCATGAATTACAATGCAAGAGAAATGAAATTCGCGAAATCTGGTTTCTAGACCGCTTCATGCACCCTCCACTGGAACGTCGGTAAAACTGAACCATCATCCTCAGCTGCAAGATAGGATATAAGCTGCTGCGAGATAGGATATAATGATTAGATAAGATAAGATAAGATTCTTTCTGTCAATTAGCTATAACGTTGCACATATTTTGTAGAAATTTAACTTTCGGGTCGTTTATACTCGCATCGATAAAATTCCGAGTTCCATACTCAAAGACCCCTATTGGGGACTTGATTTTCTGGGGTATTTACAGGATTCCTTGCCAGTGCGGTTTGATTTACATTGGCCAAACTTAGAGAGCCTTAAAATTTTGCGTCAAGGAACATGAGGCATATGTTAGAAAAAAGGAAACATAGAAGTCTTCTGTTGCCCAAAATTGTTGGTCCTAAAATCGCATTTTCAATTTTTCTGCTGCCAAAATTATTCAAAACCATCTTCCATTGGCAAACTGGATTTTCTAGAGGCATTTCACATTCAAAAAAATCTTCCTGTTCTAGTTAACGACCCTAATTCTAATCCATCTTTGCCTTCAGCCTTTAAAGAAATTATGTTTTAGTTCTGGTTTCATCAACAGATGGAGCCAGTAGCTAATCTCCTGTCCAGGCTTTCTTATCTTATCTAATCTTTATATCCTATCCATATCTTATCACCGATCGTGTTCGACGCACTGAAGTGGACTCTCAGTTTGTTCGTGATAACTGACCCAGTACAGTAGACGGTCAGATCGGTGATACTGAGTTTGCTTTTGATAGTAGTTTAACTTTGATTAGCGTTACCTGCGGGTGACAAAATGTCCTTATTTAGGACACCTGATCTTTATGATGATGAAGCAAGTGGCAATTCAGATTCTGAGTTTTCAGCGAAATCGCAACCAGTTTTCTCAAGGAAAGATGAGTTCCTGAAAAGTCATGCTGATCAAAAGAAAGGAAAAAGCAAAAAGAAATCTTCAAGACCCATGTCTGACGGCGGAAGGACTCATAAATTAGAACTTGATGCAAAGACAGATGCGAAGAAATCGGATAATCCTAATCCTGTCTTAGACCAGTTTATGGAAATGATTAAAATACACGGAATTGAAAAGATTTGTGACGTGATAGTGAAGAATCCACAAGCTAAAGACGACCCACCTGCTAAGCAAGTCAAGCCAAGCGAAAAAGACGAATTAATGGAACAAAGCTCTGAAAATGCATGGAAACCCAAAACCTAAAAAATTCTGGTTCCGATGGATGTTACTCATGGAAACCGCTTTCAAGGCTTAGAAGTAGGCGGAGTAGAAGAAGAAGAAGGAGGAGCTTCCCCAACGGAGACGACGCCACCAATTGCAATCCCACATAAAGATGTTGATTGTCTACAATTAGATGGAATTATCGGAATTTGCTGCAGATCAGAACATGAAGCCTCAATGAAATCAAATTTGATTCATGTGTATACGAAATTAGTAGATGACTACAGACGAGTTACGAAAAGGCTTGAAATGGGGAAAATCCCATTCCACAAGTATCAATTGTCCAGTGAGAAGAATGTTCGTGCAATATTGAAGGATCTACCAGAAACCATCTCAGAAGCTGCGATTTATGAGGATCTTGAAAGACGTAAGTACCCAATCATGAAGGTGAAGCAATTCTCACGGTCTAGAAAAGGTGAAATCGAGAAACTTCCAATTTTCTTTTTGGAGTTTAAAAGGAATGTGGCCGGAAATGCGATCTTTGATTTAAATAATATGTTCAGCATAAATATTCGCATTGAAAAATACTCTCCAAAGAAAAGGCCAACTCAATGTTACCGTTGTCAGGCCTTCGGCTACACAACATCTATGTTCTAATCAGATTCATTGCTGCAAATGCGATGAACTGCACATAACAAGCGAATGCAATAAGAAGCCAGATAAAACCGACTTGTGTTTTCTGTGGTGAAGACCACGTAAGTAGTTATAGAGGCTGTAAGGTATATGAGAAAAAATTCTCGAAAATGGAAAGAAAATTTTCAATTCGAAAAGAAAGTCGCCCACGTCCACCCAGCATAGATGATTTCCCGAGCCTGGTGAAGACTACTGAGAGGGAAATTAGTTCGGAACAAAAATATTCCTATAGTAAGAAACTGAAGAAACCCAAAATTTACAATGTCCGGAACTTACCCATAGCTCTAAAGAATTCAGCAAACTGGTTGTTTGACGAAAACATCACAAATCTGACGGAGGTAATTATTCAATGCATCGTAAATATTCAGAGTGCAAGAACTCGACTGGAAAAGCTGAAAGCAAGTCAAGACGTTGGTTGCTTTTTCAGAAGAGAACTAGTCACTTGACATGCCAAGCCCCGCCCACAGTGCAATTGCTGACTTATGGACTGATTTAATATTATGAAAAATTTTACTTTGACTTCCCGGGTTGTATCTTGTGCTACTTCAAAACTCTCCCCTGAATCTGATTTTCTGCTTAGCTTCGATCCTTCGGCCACTTCTAGCGACCAGAACTGCCTGACTACGGTCTAGCTGCATTTACGTTCCGGGTGATAGGTGTAACTTGTGTACAAGTTCCGGGCGATAGGTGTACCTTGTGTACCCCTTGCTTGTAGAAAAAAGCAAGTAGAAAAAAGCGAGAAGCTTGTAGAAAAAAGCAAGGTGTACCTAAGCGAATTGCCTATGGCTTACTTAAACGATTGGCGATAGCTCTTAGAAGCTGAAGCCAAAAGCAAAAGATCCGCTCCGCTCAGCTCTGATTATGTCCTATCTTGTTCATTTGCGATTTTGCAGCTGAGGATGATGGTTCGGTAAAAACCATCGAAACTGGTCCTGTGAAAATTTGAAAATATAACGCTGATTTTTATTGTTTGACTTCTAAATTAATACAGTCATAATTCCTACAAATATTTTGAAAGTGTCCACTTACTATGGGTGATTTCACACGATTCCTAGTTTTAAACAAATGCAGGCAAAAGTACAGCGAAGTAAAAATAAAATAAGTTGTTAGTAAAAGTATTGAAACAAAATTCCTTCGCTTAAGGAAAGTAAAGTAAATTACCCGATACTTTCTTTGAATTTCTACATAATCTCCATTGCAAGGTATGTCCATTTCATTAATAGAAACCTGCACTGAGCCTCGATAGAAAGGTGATGCAGCTGACGTATTCTTGGAGATGGTCCAGGTGCATCTTAAGTTGACTGGATATGGACCTGGGTAATTGGGAGATGTCAAATTTTGAGCTGATGATAGAGAAGTCAGAGCTGTAGTTCCACACGGTGCTAAAAGGATGAAAACATTATATAGTGAATCAGTTTTTACTCAGTACAAGACCATATTTTATAATTTTACATCATATTTTTCCTATTAAAAGCGAAAAAAGTATTTAATTTAAAATGAAAAAGAATCTGAAAGCCTTCAAATTTGATATTACGTCCAAAGGGGTGTTTTTTTTAACGTTTTGTGTGTTACCTTCATTTACTAAATATCACGTTCTTCGCACTTAAACCATAAAGTGCAGCTCAACAGCAATATCACATAATATTTTGTAGAGACATTAGGTTAATTTTGGAAGCTGGAGAGATGAAAAATTAGCAACTGCCTTCGCCGGGAATCGAACCACGGACCTCTGGAATACCGGCCCAGCGTGCAGAACCACTACACCACGAAGGCAAGCTAGGAAAGCGAGAGAAATACCTTATATACTCCCACTTTTTAAAGGGAGACTGGGTTTTCAGGGGATCGCCAAATCCTGGATGGATCCAACACCCTTTTAGTTCGGCCGCCACTGTAGAGACATTAGGTATTTTTGCAAGCAGGCAGAGATGAAAAATAGCAAACGCCTTCGCCGGGAATCAAACCAGGGATCTCTGGAATACCGGCCCAGCGTGCAGAACCACTACACCACGAAGGCAAGATAGGGAAGCGGGAGAAAAATCTTATAATTTAAAAATGCATATCTTTAGAATTTGCGATACACAGTTTCCCTCGCTGGAGATAAAAATGTTTTCTATTTGTACAGTGTTGACATTGCTCGATTTGAAATCGTTGAGTTTCTTAACCAAAAAGCATAAATGCGTTACAAAATATGAAACAGATAATAAATAAAATACCAAATTCCAAATTTGGGCTCCCAGATGCCCATTTTTGGGTGGAGACGAACGTTATTCGAAATTTGATGGCTGTAGGTACCATTGTTTTATCACAATGCGAGAAAAATACATACCTTCACTCAGATTCTTCATTATTTAATTTCTTTTAATATAATACAGGACTTTACTAATATTTACTAATATTGGCAAATATTTAAAAAGTGATTCGCATTTTATAATAAATCAACATAAAATGCCAAATGGAAATTAATAACCTTTCTGGGCGAATTGCCTCTTTGGGTTAAAATTAAAACTTTTGACAAAAGCCCACGTAAGAAATGTTTTCAGTATGTTGCTCGTGTTTCTATGAGCACAATGAGTTAAAACGGACTTTAAACGAACAGCAATTTATGTAGTGAAGTAATTTTGCAGTGATCAGTTCACCATTAAATAAGGATTTCCGAGAAAAATACAGCACTAAATAAAAAACAATCTATAATAGTTTTTCAAGCATTCTTGTGGAATGTTATATTGTGAACGCAAACAGGTATGCATTGAAAAATCCAAGAAAATCAGATCAATAGCAGGCCGCCAAAAATTAATTGTTAGATTTGACTCAAAGCAAACAAAGAAAAAAATCAAGTTGAACAAAATCATGTAAAGTTCAAAATGAGTATGCCTAAATTCAATTTCTGAAACATGGAATGTACTTACAAGGAATTAGTGAGTATTTGATTGTGAATCCAGCCAGGTTTACGCCATCATTTGTGTGAAAAATAACAGTCGCTATGTTCCCAGATGTGATAATCGGTGAGGGAGGAGTTGAGCCACAGTAATGACCGATGAGTGGACTGTCTTTTGACATGCCATCTCTCAACTAGGAAGGAAACAAAACAAATTAAGGCTCATTTGTATCTTAAGTTAAAGCTAACCATTCCAACAGTTATAATACTTCTGCGAAAAAGCAAACATTATTTATATCTTAGAAATATAATTTTATTTTATTTTGGCCAATCAAAATTTAGAAATTGTACTCCAGAGCTATACAGTAGTAGTAATAGTAATAAAATATTTCTGTAAAATCTGTTTTATTATTATTAGTTATTATATTAGAATCTGTATAATTACAATTATTATTTTAGTAGCATATTAATTATTATTATTATAATTCTGTACATCCTGATTTTATTATTTTAAATTATCACCAGAATTAGAGTTTTGGAATTGATCATTGAAGCTGTCCAAACAGAACAACTTGCATATTTTTATGTCCAATTAAATTTAGTACTACTAAAATTCAATTCAGTCCAGAAAGGGAAATTTAAATGGGGCAATAAGAAAGCAAACAAAGGCATCTTAAATACCAGTGCAAAAAGAAAGGCTAAGTTAAATATGCGTTTCAACAGTTTTATTGTTTTCTGCGAAACATTTTTGTGAAACACTTGGCTTGTTCAAAGAATGGAACTTGTAGAGATGTATTTCATTTCGCCAATACCTATTAAAGAATCACGGGGCAAAGTCTGGTATTCTTCAGCATAAACTACAGGCTTTAAAAATACCATTGAAGAATTATCTTCTAGACTTGTAGAACAAAGCAAAAGACAGAAGAAGGGTCCATAAGATCCTTTTATTTGAACACAAAAGAAGTAACAATGACCCAACTTAGGTTTACTTCTGGCTAAATTTAAATAAGTAACTAAGACCCTTTTATTTGAACAAAAAAGAAGTAACAATGACCCAACTTAGGTTTACTTCTGGCTAAATTTAAATAAGTAATTAAGACCCTTTTATTTGAACACAAAAGAAGTAACAATGACCCTACTCAGGTTTACTTCTGGCTAAATTTAAATAAGTAATGTTGAATTAAAATCAAATTGAATAGATTAACCTAACGGCTCAGACAAGTTTACTTCAAGTTACACAAGGCTTACTTCTGGCTAAACTCAAATACGTACAGAGCTTAAATTGCGCCGGAGCGCACCGGAGCCCCACATAAGAACGCTCCGGCACGCACTTTTTTCTGTTAATGCAACACAGTTTCAGGGGGAAAATTTTTATTTAAAAAATAAATATGAGTTGAAAGACGATTATAACTTCCGAATAAATGCCTGTTTTTCTCCGGTTAAAAACCGTACGGAGGTGTTAACACTTTTAAGGAAAGAAGATCCTCTCTTCACATATCAAAGGTCTATTCTCCAAGGAGTGCAATGAATTTATATGAGAGCAGGGGTAAAATGTTTTGTTCTTGAAAGCACTAAAAATTATCACTTTGGTTGTGTACTTCCAGCGATAGTGACTTCTCACTGAAGAGCTCCTGCAGACATGAACTATACAACCAAATACCAGGGACAAAAACTTTCACTTGTGCAGATCTTACATTTGTTCCCATGTTGTTATCATATAGGATTCGGAGGAAACTTCTTTTGCCCAGTCGCATTCCACTTGACAGCTCGTATTGTACGGGCAGGGCATCGTAATCAGAAAGCTTAGGATTCTAATCTCTTTCTTTTCGAAGCTACATTTCTTCATTTAAATTTTTTTTCCATACTCCCATATATTGTTTTAATCATTCTCTCTGTTCTCATTAATGCCGCTTTAATTACTTTTATTTTTTTATTGTTTTGCTGGGAAAATAATGGTTTTGTTTCTCTCATCCCTTGAAATCGTAAATTATACTGTATATTCAGGGCTTGAATTCAGCCGGAGGCCAGCTAAGCTATTGCTTAGTTTTCTGAATGATAAGGCCCGGTTTTTTATTTATTTTATTTAACCATTAATCGTGAATTTAATAATTTATCAAATTTTATTTATATCTTTATATTTCATTGAAATTTAATTTTAATTTAATTATTAGTCATTTTATCTTTTATTGGTTATCTGATCTTTTTCCCTTTTTCCTGACAGCCTTCCATAGGGCTCCGGCACTTCGGATTTTAGAAATTAAGCCCTGACTACGTAATGTTGAACTAAAATCAAATGTAATAGATTAGCCTAATGGCTTACATTATAAAGTAACATGCAGGAAATGCTCTGGTTTGTAGAAGATCTGCGATACAAGTCTAATGGCTTAACCAATAAACCAAACCTTTTAATAACAGGATGTGAACCTCTATATGGATGCAAGTTTACGTTATTTATGTTATATCAGTGCTCAAAAGTTTGCAGTGAGAGATTTACATAAATTTACTTAACCCATTAAACTGCCATGATCCCATTTAGGGATTTTAATTAGGTTCGCAACAATGGTTACTTTTTTTACATTGTTGCTCAAACCTTTCTCAAGCTTTTGCATGAATTGTTGAGTAGTAGTTATTAAATGAATGAGCTGGAGAGTATCATTTGTGAGAAGAAGTAAAATTTTTGTGAGTTTCAAGATTTCAACATTTTCAAAACGCCGATATGTCAGATTATTATGTACATCATTTCCAACTCCTGTATACTGCTGTGTTCTCTAATGGTTTTAGAATATTGATTAACAATTTATTGCCAATGTTAATTTTATTTTCCGGTGAGGGTTTTTTGAATGCCCATCTCCATTTAGGGCTCATGGCAGATTCCATCTATATTCCATTTATATTGCAATTTCCAGTCTCTGTGTCGATCTAGACACCAAGAAATAAATGTAAATTAATAGAAAAAATTTGGCAGTTCATGGGTTAATATGTTGATGTTGTCATAATAAATTATTCTTTGGTATATTTAAATGACCATAATAAAATAAATCTATTTATTATCATCAAAGAGAAGAAAAGAATCTTAGAACGTGGTTCAAATTATCTAAAGGGTTTCAAAGTGATTTATGATTTTTGCTTGTTTTTGATACAAGGACAAATAAAATTTGAAGAGAGTGCAGAAAACTATTAAGTCCACATATTATCAGGAACATATTTTATACTCAATTTTCAAATATGAAATACCTTTTCTTTATCATCAAGGTTATTTTGGTATCAACTCCATATCGTTCTCTTACATCCCTACTAAATCTGCTGATGTATCACCGCTTTTGGACTTTTAAAAAGTGGTTTCTTCAAACGTCAACCCATAACCCTTCTTGGACTTTATATAGCTGTTCCAGAAGAATGGGGTAAAATAGCTCTTAGATACTACAAAAGCTTTATTGTCTTAGAAATTAATGGTGTTGAAAGATAGTCAAGAATTAGGGTTATAAAGTAGAACATTTAAGAAACACAAATTTTAGGCAAAATATTTCTGCAAATGCAATTAAATTTGTCTAAAAAGTATGCTAACGGCCCCTGTAGCTGGAAGATACTAGGCCGGCAGTGTGGCGTCTGTTATATCGAAATTTTTAGTTCTTAATAATTTTAACTTTAAACTTCATGGTGCCGGACAAAGCTAACTAAAAAAAAAATAATCAAAAATCAAATATCAAATAATTCACATTCAAGATCTAATTCATAATATTCATATATCATTTCGACATTCTTAAAAATATTCGTATAGTAAATCTATCAATCAATCGTATATCATATCTATCAATCAATAGTATATCATACCTATCAATCAATCGTATAGTGGTATAGTACAGTTTAACTTTTTAGGTTTGCGTTGTGAGTAACCTATGTAAAGGGAAAATCAATAACTCCAAATTCAATTAAACTCCATGTTTCTTAAAAGCCTCCCGGCTCAAACAAATGGAGGGACATGACAGACCACAGTAAAATATACACAGCATAAATACACAAATGCCATTAAATTTTAAACACACATTTATTAAATTCTTGACTATTTTATATAATTAAATAATGGATAACTGATCAGTATCCTACCACATATTTTCCAAGTCAAAATAACACATAATACTACACCAAATTACAGCTTACATTAATTAAGATTAACATTGTTTTTTTTAAAATTAATTAGGTGTAACAAAATTTAATCCTCCAAATAACAGGTTCTTATTAATTAGAAGGTAACGTTTTTCTAGCTCACAAAATTCAGTAGGTGAAACAAATTTTAATCCTCCCAAAACTGGCATTCACTTGAAATTACATATAACTTCTCAATTATTCTAACTGTAATATTTAATTTATATAAGTAATAACAATATGCTGGTAGATAAATCACTATTAACTGTTCTGCATTCGGGAAAACTAAGAAAGAGAGAGAGAGAATATATACTTAAAAAAAATTTCACTCACAGATGGAAAACAGTTTTTCCTGATTAGCCGGATCCTTAGTGTCCAATCCACATGGAAATGAGCCAAGCCCATATTTCTTTACTGTCCATTAGGTGGGAACCAATAGTCCAATTTAGAAGGATCTTTTATCTGTCCATTAGGTGGGAACCAATAGTCCAATTTAGAAGGATCTTTTATCTGTCCATTAGGTGGGAACCAATAGTCCAATTTAGAAGGATCTTTTATCTGTCCATTAGGTGGGAACCAATAGTCCAATTCAGAAGGATCTTTTTTCAATTCAATAACAGGTAGCTGAATATACACCAGTTTTTTTAGCACAATCACGTGCATCATCGAAGCGTCGAGACAACATTTATGCTGAATGTTTCGGAAAAAGGCTCTTGGAGATTAACCGGCGATTCAGGTGAAGAGAGGAAACCTGTGCTAAATTTTCTTAGTAGATTTTTCTCTATACGTCTCAATCAGCTCTCAGTAAAAATGCTCTTTGCAGCTCTCACACAGTTCTCCATACATCACGCAGGAAAATGTTCCTTGCATCTCGAACAAAACTTATATCCCGCAGAAAAGAAAACGGTACTCAGTCCCTCTTGCACAGGAAGCCCGCAGCAGAGCAAAGCGCCCGACGATCTTTCTTTCTCTTTCACATCGCGGCTGCTCAAAATTCACTCAAATCAAACTCCGCTACAACATCACCGCAGCCCGCTTGTACAAGTCGCTCGCCCCGCAAGACTCGAAGGGTCAAGCCCCGCAAAACTTTCTGCTTCTCCTTTCCTTTTCGCTCAGAAATCTGAATCAGAATGATCTCTAGCCTGGTGCAAGCACGCAGGAAAACTCGGTTTCTCCGCCTCTGTGAGTTCATAGGCTTTCAAAAAAATCATAAAATTAAATCTTACCAATCCCGGAATTTTATGTTATCTAAATTGAGAAAATGACACACCCATGACGAATCAAACACCAGAAAATCTGACAATGAAATCCGAAAAACATCTGCATAACGTGAGAAAAAAAATAGACCCCCCAACTAACAAGTGAAACTAAGCTTTTACGAAAATCCAATTACCAGCCATTCCCACTGTCTTGAAGTAATAAAACTGCAAACTTACAAAGCGACAGGAAAGTGCTTTCCGTTCCACACGCATTAGCTAAAAAGACCCTACTGCCTCCATTGTTAGTAGAAAAAAGGCTATAACCAATAAACCAGATGTGTTTCCTTGCAACCGTCTCCCGCCTTTGTTACAATTCCTACTCAAGAATAATGAGTTAAATAAAACCTTAAGAGCTTAAGAATACTTTTTTCCAGATTAAAATACACATGAATACAAATAAAAATATTAGAATAATAATAACTTGAAACACATATTAATAATTGAAATTGTCGACATAACACGTCTGTCTCAAAACTAATCTGCGTCGTGGAAAAAATCTCAGTGGTGTCTCATGAAATATTGCTTCCTAACAGTGTGCGGGCGCTATACTTGCTTACCTACTATGCATAGCTGTTGTTGACTATACTCTCTCTCTCTATATATATGGTAAAAAGTTGTACATTTTCTGTTAAATAAATATAACCTGGATTTCAATTTAAATGTTACACTGTAAAACTGAAGGATAGCAGTATTAAAACTTTCACCGCGGATAGTCTTTAGAATGTTGTTTTGACACTTACCTCTACATAGTCGTAAACGCATGTATTATTTCTGGAACTCTCTACTTCGAAACTAGTGAAATTCAGCAGAATGACTTGGTTAGGAGATGAATTCATGATGAGCCAATTACAGTCTAGATTAGATTCATACTGTCCATCTGAATCCACATCGACAGATTTTATTTCTCCAGTTGATGTATTAAGCATACCTCCGCAGCCTTGAGAGGAACCTAAAACATAAGTCTTACTGTTAAATCTGTTCTGAACAAATTGCAATGTACAAGACTGAGTACTCAAAGCCAGCTGTTCCAGATAACGTATTGCGATAATTAAATTATAACAAGAACTGGCGCCACGAAACGGCATAATAACAACTGACGTCAACATTGGCATCAGTTGCAATTACGTCAGAGGCGACGAAAGAAAAAAAAATAACTGGTGGATAAGTTCTTTTCAGGCGTAATTTTGTTGACGGTTAATTAATTGTTTGGTTAATTTTGGTTAACTTTAGATTTAGTTAACACTCATGAACTCTGATTAATTTTAAATATAACATTTTGCAGTATATTTTATTACGACTATCTAGCCCTACACAGGCAATTCATATAAAGCAGTATTAAGGCATACATGTAATCTTAGAAAAAATGAACTGAATGCACCAATTTTTCGTTCATTAAATTATAACGTTTCTATATCTCCATATCTACTATTTAACTTGGAAGATCTCAGAGTTTTTGTTTGCTACTGATGAAATATATATAAATTAACAAACGTAAATTTAAAAGTATGTATGTTACCGTGAAAGATCGAAACTGGAGAATGTCGGTGAATGTCAACACATACCAAATACGCCGATGAAAGACTGCATGTTTGGTTACCTTTTTTAACATTCTGACAATCACCGTAGTATGTCAACAAGCACACTTATGCTCTGGTAGAGGTCGAAACGAGAAGACAGACAGACAGGCGTTGCAAAAACAAGGGACTCCGGTACAATTTAAAGTGTCATAATAGTATAAGTGGTGCAATAAGTAAGTTTGTATAACATCAATCACATAATTAAATAAGTTTATTATTGGCGTCATTTTTTTTCTCATTTACAATGTTCGTTTTAAGTACAACAGTTTGTTTACTTATGCTGTTATTTAAGCTTTCTCCAGTTTTTACATGTTTTAACATGTTTTAATAATAAAGTATCTGAAAACATAACTAAAATATTTTTTTGTCAATATTCACCTTTAGTGCATTTGCTGATACTTATAAAGTGTGAATTTACATTCATTAGGGGTGCTCGTCTGCTCCCAGATTCTAACTAATTATATAACCTTGTATATTGCCCAAAAGTATATAGTTACATTTTCTAGCATATATATCATGTTTTTAGTAAACGGGAAATTCTACGTGCGAAACACACACTATTCATTCTCAGTACAGTTCATGTAAGACGTAATGATTTCTTTGATGAAAGATAGATTATTTATTAGCCGCAGTCTCCTGGTTGATGTATAATCGGATATTAATTTTATCACTTTGTAAGGCAAAAGAAAATTATTAAATGTTTTTCTTACCATAAGTATTGTAATAAAAGGCTGAAAATCCTTTTTCTGTCTCCTTGTATTCAGAATGGTAGCGCAGAGACAGCTGATTTCCAGTTGATTTGTATAGTACTTTGTCTGAAGTGCAAAGACGACCAATCAAAGGTCCTGTTAAATTTCCGTCCCGTACCTCTAAGTACTACTAATGTTTTCTTACCATAAGTACTACTAATGTTTTTCTTACCATAAGTACTACTAATGTTTTTCTTACCATAAGTATTGTCTAAAGGCTAATGTTTTTCTTACCATAAGTATTGTAATAAAAGGCTGAAAATAAAAGGCTACTAATGTTTTTCTTACCATAAGTATTGTAATAAAAGGCTGAAAATAAAAGGCTACTAATGTTTTTCTTACCATAAGTATTGTAATAAAAGGCTACTAATGTTTTTCTTACCATAAGTATTGTAATAAAAGGCTGAAAATCCTTTTTCTGTCTCCTTGTATTCAGAATGGTAGCGCAGAGACAGCTGATTTCCAGTTGATTTGTATAGTACTTTGTCTGAAGTGCAAAGTCGACCAATCAAAGGTCCTGTTAAATTTCCGTCCCGTACCTCTAAGTACTCACGCGAACAGGTGTACGAAGATTTAAGGTCAAAGGAAGAAAATCTGAAGTAAAAATTAAAATAAAAGTTGGAATTTCTTTAGATGGACATTTTTTAAACATAGTTCATTTGAAGGACTTCACAAACTCTGAATTAAAAATGCATCAAATCCAAGAACGTTCAGGCTTATAATACAGAATTTTTCTATTAGCTATTATATTACTATTAACTATTGTATTATTGCATTATTATTATTATAGCATTAACTTCATATGCACTAATTTCTATACGTTATTATTTCAGCTGTACTTCTACTGTGACGTGAATAATTTACGTATAATTTACGTACTTGAGCGCTATTACTTTGTTGGGTTGAGCTACTATCTGCCAAGTGCAGTCCATGTAGTTTAAAAAGTTTAAGAATGGTGGAGTAGCGATCACGCCCCGTGGCTCAGTAAAGATAGCCCCACAACCTGTAAGAATAAAAGGAAGAACTTAAAACAATGTAAATATTTACATAGCAAAGAGATCAGAATTTAGTGCGTCACATAGAGGCAAAGAGACGCACTAAATTCTGATCTGATGAAATATATTTTATTTAGAGAATTTGCATTTGTACTTATATACTATATAGTATATATTATTGCGAAAGGCTACAGCCTAAAACATCGCGGCAAAAATATCGCGAATGGAAACGAGCCGGAGGAAACAACGCAAGGCGAAAACGTCGTGGCACAAAACATCACGGGAGAAAAGAAAGCAAAGGGAAAACATCGCAGTTCTAAAACACCGTGGTCGAAAATAACGCGGTTCGAAAACATCGTCGTCGAAAATATTGTGGTAAAATATAAAGTACCTACAAATCATCGCATTACGATAACATCGCACACGTGTGTTTTTCAAATCCCATACTAACATATTATGCAACTGACTTTCGTCATAACTAACAAATCTACATAAAAAATGATTGCAAGCTATACATGAAAATTTTAACGACATTGTAAGAATAAGCGGAAAGAAAACAAAGTATAATTTTCATCAAAACAATATCAGATTCACAAATTTGAAAGAAAATAATTTGATAATTAACTAAGCAATTTTTAGATAGGTAACGTTATGCCGTTATTTATCTTCGTTTTTCTAAGAGTTTATAGACTATTTTTCATAAAAAATTTTCAGTAAAACTTTATAAGAAAGTTTAATTTTTTAATGACCTCCGTTAATAAACTATGTAAATTTAAATTTCTATTAGTTGCATAATTTTCTACTCATTTTCAGTTTTTAAATGCTTAAGTTTCCTTTTCATTTTTTCAGCTAGATTTTAATAGTTCATTATATATAGAAGTAAAAGAATCCCCCTTTCCTTCTTGCTCTCCCAGATCATAATGCGAACATGCATTTACAACTTTTAAAACCTGAAAACGCATGTGTGCGATGTTATCGTCCCGCGATGATTTGTAGGTACTTTATTTTTTACCACGATATTTTGTACCACGATGTTTTAGAGCTGGGATGTTATCTCTTTGCTTTCTTTTCTCCCATGATGTTTTATACCACGACATTTTCGCCTTGCGTTGTTTTCTCCGCGACGTTTTCGTCCGCGATGTTTTCGTCCGCGATGTTTTTGAAGCGAGGATTTCAGGGGAGACACCGTTGCGAAATGCCCGGCGGCGGCCCGGTGAGAGAGCAAAACGGGGGGGGGGGGGTTTGGGGCTGTCAGAAAATGATAGGGAAAGGTAGGGTTGTCAGATTTGTCGCAAAATTGTACATTTGGCGAAATTTGGCGATATGTCATAGACGGAATGAGAACATTCAAGAACGCATTTTTAGCGGTTTTCCCCGAGGATATTCTCGAAGGTAGGTTAAAGCTATATATAGCCTGCCTGCGCGAGAACTGTAGTGTCTTGAGTTCACAGATCATCTTGAGAGAGTTCAACCGAGTCAAGAGCTCTACTTTTACTGCTATGCCGTGAAGCTGTCTTTACCATTATAGCCTGAAGGCTGCATTGCTGCTTGTTTCAGCATGTTTGTGGACCATAAACGTGTGTTTGGCACTGTCTTGTCTAATAGTGCTAACTATCGAATAAATTGTGTTTTGATTCTTCATCAAGTGCTATCCTCAATTACTCCAAACCCACGAACCCGTAGAACGCAACAATATATATATATATATATATATATATATATATATATATTGGAGAGGAAATGTTTTTTTATATCTATATATAATATATTGGAGAGGAAATGTACAGTGTTGCCATTGTTCGCTTTGAAATCGTTGAGGTTGTTTATCAAAAATTCGTTTAAGGTTTACAAAATTTGAAATCGATAATAAAACAAATTCCAAACTAGGTTTTCCAGATGCCTAAATATTCAGTGGAGGATTACTTTATTCAAAAGCTAATGGCTCTACGTACTGCTGTTTTATTACAATGCGAGAAACATACATATATTTATGCAGATTCTTCATTATTTAATTTCTTTAAATATAACACAGGTCGATAATATTTGGTCGCAACAATTTGAAAAGTGAAACAGACATTTAAAGGTTTTGACGTAAAATGCCAAAACGAAATTAATAGTCCTTCTGGGCTAACGCTGTTTGGGCTAAAAAACAGCAACCCATCAAAAACTCTCTACTAACATCACTCATACAGAATGTGAACCTTATCGCCTCCCGGATTTCCCCAAATCTCCTGTGTACCGTATACTAGGATTAAACTCTAATGTCATTTACAAAAGAACAGAATTTTTTGTGAACGTGAAAATCTCCAAATATATCCAATTCAGCAAGTGAAGAAAAACGTCTCCTTTGATTTGGTACCAAATACCAACGCTGTTACCGGTTTCCTGGTAATCCCAAATCGACTCTGTTTCTGTTATGGCAGCGATTATATTTTTACATGCCAATGTTTTTCTGAAATTTAATCTGAAGTCTTGCTTCTTAGAAGTAAACTTTCTCTCATTTGATACCGGTTTTCCGAAAACCCACATATTTTCTGAAAGCTTATATCACAAGTAGAAAACTGCTAGGGGCAGGGTTTAAGAGTCTTAGGGTTTAGGAGCTATAGAACCTGCAAAGTTTCATTGAAAGGTGTATAGATTAACATATTCCCGTTATGCGTCTCTATTTCTTGTATGTTAATGCATTGTCTGCTTTCGAAGTACCTGATGCTAAAGTTCTACAAAAACAACCGGTACGGGAAAGATTCAGCCTCTGGATATTCGTTTTTTGCAGATACTACAAATCTTTTGTTCGTTACATAACGGACACGGTCATTATCGAGATACAAGAGCACATTTGGCATTGCGATAGTTTTCTGGCTCTGAAGTCCTTTTCCCTATACCAGTTCAGCGCTCCTAGTTTCAAGAACTTGAGTAAGTGTGCTTTTTACAAGGGCGGATGCTTGAACGACGAACCTGGAATTTGGATTGCGCCTACTGCTTTGATTCATTGAATTATGAGTGTGCAAAGTAAAATAATCCCATTGTGAACTCACTTTCTGTCCATCTCACTGTTTATTTGATGAATTGCACATTGATTACCTCTTGTAATGGATTTTGTTTGAAATCAATAACAGGTCACATTTTCAACATCCCAGCGTATACTGTTTCATCCTTTATATTGAGATCTCCCCCTTCGTATCAGTAAAGTGTTGGAAACTCTTACATAGCTCCTAAACACTCGTCCCTCTACCCCTAAGGTTTCAAAGTTTTCTACTTGTGACATAAGCTTTCAGAAAATATATGGGATTCCAGAAAACAGGTATTCAAAGGCGAGAAGATTTACTTGTTAGTTTAGTGACCGAGGGCTGCGTGATTTGTAGTACGTGACGTAATTTGTATTACTGGAATTTAAATTACCGTCGATTGAACTTTGGTTTTCGTTTGTTGGCTTGTTCTAATTAATCGTTGTCCTATTACGTTCACTAAAGAAATATGTCTGGCAAGATAATTATTCTTTTTTCATGACTTAGAGTGAAAGGGTAAGAAAGTTACAAATAAATAAAGCGGGGTCTTCGGCATTCGTCAGATGACATTTTGTATTCCTACTTTGCAGAGTTTATGTGGCGTCACCAATACCGAGATCAGGAGAGGAGGGATCAAATACGTGATTATATGACTTATGTATGTGGTAGTGGTCATCCGACGATGACGCTGAGACTTAGCCAAGAACACACGAGGTTACATTTTCTGCGTTGTTTTGGGTGACAGTCATCTTGGAAACATTGCTTTTTGGCGCCATTCTTGGCGTCCTAAGAAATCGCCAAATATATCAAGCGGCCCCATATGTTAAACTTTTATCAATATATCATTGTCATTAAAAATTTAGCAAACGTATTTGATAATATTAAACACTATATTAGTGATGAACGAATTCATATGCTAGTTAGTCCAAAAGTTCAAGATAACTAGATAAAGTACCAAGTAAATTATTATGGGGTTCTTAAATTAGTGCTTTGCAGCTCTGTACTTACTCATAATTTCGTAGCTTAGCAAAAATCCATTAGATCCGTAGCTGACGTCAGTAACGAATCTTACCGTCACCGGCCCGAGTAAAGTGCGGGTTGCTGGTGGAATGCTACCGCAGTATTTACCTTGTTTGTTATCATCAGATACCCGTATCTGATATATTTCCAAGTAATCAAATATGCAGTCCGTATTTTCTGAAAAAGATAAATAGTTTTTAGATTAAAAATTGAATATAGTACATATATATATATATATATATATAATTGAAAAAGAAAATGTAAAGCGAACTGGTAATTAGACGAAAGACCTATCTGGTCTCAAAAACTTTTGCGCATAATGCTGCAAAAAGATTTGAAAGAATAGTAGTAGGTAGGAACATTGCAGCAACCTTGCTAAAACGTTACCAGGAGCTGTAGCTCCACGAAATGTTGTTACATAGTACTCCATAGACAATAAGCAATTTGCCCGGTAAACTGGAAAAACTGTATAAGCGCGATAAAATTGCCAAATTTTAGTGCTGGAAGACTTGCTATTGCACGAAAAAAATTAATTAATCTGACCGTTGTGTAATGTGAAAAGATAACTAACATGAAAAAAATGAACAGGAAAAAAAAATATATAAAGTTATATATATCAGGAAGTTACAAAAACATGGATTATAAATGTCAATATATAAATTGCCTATACATAAAAAATTAAAATTAAAATTGCCAATATATAATATGCCAATACATAAAAATTAAAATCAAAATTAAAAAAAAATAATAAAAAGACACAAAAAAAACTAGCTACAAAAACAATAATTAAATAGCGGAAAAATGGCTCACTCGCACTCTCAGTTGGCTTTTCAAGGGAAAAAACTGATCTACGAAATAGGCTAAATACCATTACGCGTTTCGCCGAAACAGACCATTGAAGCTCTTGTTTAAAGTGAAAAAAACTTTATACAAAAGTATATTAGTATTTCCGAAAAAATTCTTTTGGAATAAATCCTTTTTAGTAGCTCCACTGCTCTGTCTCTTTTTCCCGACGCGTCCGCTGAAATATACACACACACACACACACATATATATATATATGAAATGTAATTTCTCATACATTATTTGTTTTGTGCAGCCGGGGCAACAGGAATGAGAGAAATTTTGGAATATAAAGTGGTAGGTTTATTTTAGCATCCATCTCACAAGCGTTGTTTTTCGTACCTTGAGCAGAAGCCCTACTTATACATATGTGTGCGTCACGAGGCTCATCCAATCAGCGATATTAATTGAAATCACGAGGTGACGCTATCTTCTCATCAGGAGTGTTCTTAAGTACTTTATGTAATATGACAGATTTATGAGTTTGGCGATTTGGCGGGCGCCAACAGGTTAATATATTTTATACTAAAGAAAGGATTTCGCCAAAATTTAGGAACAGGGATGCAATTTAGGTAGAGAATCGCCAACACATTATTAAGCAATATTATTAGAATTTAATTTAATCAATTGATTTAAAAATATCATTACAGATTATCCCCCCCCATCTGAAAAGGCTTGCAGTCGCGGCCGTCGACCCAAGACAGTCCAGATAGTGAGAGCAGAAAATTTAGTTATTAGGAAATTAAGTGAGTAGGAAAACTGATTGGATTTACCTCAAGGCACACAAAATGTTTACATAAAATATGACATAAAATATTTGAATATAATTAATACAGTATATAAAATATAATAAATGATTAATGAAATTATAATATAGTAACTAAGTGCAGAACAAATAAAGCACTAATAACATATTGCTGGTTAGCTACGCGGCAATAGGAAATAGTAATATAACTGAATTTGTAAGTTTATATCTTAGGGCATGCCATTCACAGTTTGTGTATGAGTCCGTACAATCATTAGAGTTGTCATTCAGGCTCATCTTCAGTCTTTTACTGGTCTTTGGAGATCTCCGGATCATTTAATTAGCGCTAGAATTATGGATTAGCATTGGCACTGAAAACATTTGAGTTTTTATGTCACGATACTAGAGCTCTTATACTCTTGTTGAAAATACACATTTTGCTAGGTTTTTAACATATTTTGTCACTCTATTTTTCTCTTATTAATGATAACAAAACAAAATTTAACTTCCAACATCCATACCAGTTTTTTGTACACGATGCTGCAGAAACATAAAATGAAATTCAGAAATTTCAACAACTGAAATTTAACTTTTTCAACTGTTGCTACAATTTATAACACAAACATAGGAAAACATGAGCTCAAGGAAATGTGAGGGTATAGTACTCTACTTGTAGTATAGCCTCAATTGAGTGTTTCCCACACGGAAAGTGCATTGAACCTGAAACTCAAGTTTGAAGGAGCCCAGTAAAAGAAAAGGGCAGACAAACTTTTCAGACACTGAGAGATAAATCAACTATTAAGGGGGACAACAGGATGAAAACTAAAAGAAGGGTTATGGATAGTTTATTGATTTATAAATTTTGATTTATTCATGATGTAATTTAAAGTTCTCGGGTGGATAATAGAACCTTAATTTTGACGCATGTACAATCTCAGTTGGTTTCTTCGTGTGAAAATTTTCCCTGTCGATTTCATAATTAACTTCAGATAATTTATTCATAATCTGATAAGGGCCTGAATAGGGTGAAGTCAATTTTCTAGTATTTGGGTATTCGAAATTCCTCGTAAAGGACAAAATCTCCAGGTTGAAATTTAGATTCTACAAATCTGATGTCATATCTAGTTTTATTCTTTCGGTGGTATTCGATAGTTCTTTTCTTTGCTAAAGCCCTTGCTTCATTTAAGGAAGGGTATTTATTTTGATCAATTGGAGATTCAAAAGGGAGGTTACCAAATAGTAAGTATGCTGGGGTGAACTTAGTTACCGTATGAGGGGAGTTGTTATATTCGATAACAACTTGCTCTAGCACTTTAGTCCATGGTACTTTTTTAGAAGAAGAATTTACTTTACATTTTAGTCGACTTACTATTGATTGATTTACTCTTTCTACTTTACCATTTGTCTGGGGATGGTGAGATGAAGTTAAAAGTTGTTTAACATTATGCTTTTTAAGAAATTTTTTGAATCTAGAGGAAGTGAAGGCTGCATTCCTGTCACTCAGAATTTTTTCGGGGACTTGTATTTGAAATATTTGTTTTAGACAATTGGCATAGGTTTCTGAAGTTACACTTTTAGAGGGAAAAGCCCAGACATATCTTGTTGCATGGTCAATAACTATATGTAAATATTTTTTTGTAGAATTATAATAATTAAATCCTCCCACAGTGTCAATAGAGAGACATTCGAAAGGTTTGTCGGTTGGGGGTACGTCTTGCATAAGACCAAATTTTTTCTGTTTTTTCTTTTTATTAAGTTGACAAGTATGACAATGTTTAACAAAATTTCCGATATCTTCGCTAATATGAGGCCAATAATATTGAGGGGTGATTAAGTTAAGCATAATTTGAACTCCCGGGTGACCAAAATTTTCATGGGTTTTATTCAACAATTTTAATCTTAAAGATTTAGGTACTACAATTTTATAAAAATTCTTTTTCTTAATTACCATCATATCATTTATCTCTTGGTAATTTTTTTCCGCAGACATTATCAGTTTTTTTGTTGTTGGATTATTTCATTTCTATCAAGTAAATGTACATAATGTTGGAGGTGCTGTGAAACAGGATGTCTAGAAAGCATGTCAGCTTCAATATTGGTAGAGCCCTTCTGATACTTTACTTCATAATTGAACATACTTAGTTTGAGTGACCAACGGAAGAGTCTACCTTTTAAATTTTTAACATTTTTGAGCCAAACGAGGGCCGCATGGTCCGTATGTATAACAAATTTTTGTCCATGCAGATAGTAATAGAATTTGTCTAGGGCATCTACTATGGCCAAACATTCTAACTCAGTAATCGTATAATTTTTCTCATAATTTCTTAAAGTTCGGGAATGATATGATACAGGGTGAAGGACATCATTTTCATCTGGTTGTTTCAAAACAGCTCCAACAGCAGTTTGAGAAGCGTCAACAAAAATATGACATGGCCTACTGGAATCATACAATTGTAAAACAGGTTTGGAAATCAGTATTCTTTTCATTTCGTCGAAAGCTTTTTGACATTGGTCATCCCATTCCCACTTGACATCTTTTTTCAAGAGTCTGTTTAATGGAGCTCTAATAGTTGCATAATTCGGAATGAATCTATGATACACATTCACACTTCCCAAAACTCTTTGTAACTCTTTGGTGTTACTGGGGTTTTTAAGTTTCTTAATAACTTCTATATTATGGTTATCGGGAATTATTCTACCATTTTTTATTTCATAGCCAAGAAATGTGATCTGATCTCTGGCGAACACACATTTGTTTCGATTCAATTTAATATGCTCCTCTTTAAACACCTCAAATAAAATTTTTAAATGTTCTAAATGTTCCTTCTCAGAGGAAGAGTAAACGATTATATCATCAAAGTAACTGCAAGCGAAATTAATTTTATTTTTTGTTAATATTCGTCTAATTGTTCTGTTAAAAATTGCAGGAGCATTTTTGAAACCAAAAGGGAGTCTTAACCATTCGAATAATCCAAAATTCGTGCAAAAAGCTAATTTCTCAGTATCTGCAGGGTGAATCGGGATATGCCAGAAACCAGATCTCAAATCAATTGTAGAAAATACTTTTGCTTTACTTAATTTGTCTAACAAAGTGTCAATGCGAGGAAGAGGGTTTGCATCTGTTTTAGCCAGGGAATTCAATTTTCGATAATCTATACACAATCTAGTTTTCTTACCTTCCTCACGTTTAAGTACTAAAGTCACGGGGGACGAATATGGGCTACAACTTTCTTTAATTATACCTGCTTGTAATAATTGATCAATTTGGGTCTTAATTTCCTCTTCTTCCATAGGGGATGTTCTATAAGGTCTTAATGATACAGGCAAATCAGAATTTAAATTAATTCGTTGAGGTTCAATATTAATTTTTCCTACATCATACTTATTTTTAGAAAACACAGATGAATAATCATTTAACAATTTTTTCCAAGTTATACTCTTTTGTTATCGACAGTATTAGAAACAGCATTTTTCACATAAATGTTAGACTGAGAAACTAATTCCTTTGGATTTGTAGTCCGAGATTTACAGGTTGGAAAATTTCTTACATCATCATCATTATTAACACATGGATAAACATTTGTTGTACCACCTTGAAGTTGGAGGTGTAGAGATATGGGTCGGCTGTCAAAATGGCAGTCATCATTAAGTACAATAGCTCTCTGTTTAATTTTTAAATTAGTACAATCAATACTCAACTCAAATAATTTGCATTCATAAAGTCCTAAAATTACATAATTCAAATTATTATCAAGAACAAACAAGGTAATTTGGTTACTAATCCGTCCAATTTTCATTTGTATACAACATATTTTGTTGAAGATTATTTTTCCTTTAGTTTGGGTTACTGAAAATGATCTAACTCTTTGTACTTTTAAACGTAATTGTCTAGCTGTTTTGGAAGAAATTATTGATATGGTGGCACCACTGTCTACAACACACTCTAGACGTTTCTTATTGGACAAATATCCCGACACCTTTAATAGTCAACTACTGTGAGGGGTTTCTGGGGTTGGTTCTATTGCAAGGGGCGTAACATTAGGTGTATCAGATCTCTCCCCTCTGAAAGGACAAACCTGAAACCAGTGAAAAGCATTTGGGATTCCGTTCCGGGTGCAAAGTCTACAGGGACTGGGTGGCAATGGCAATCTATTTTGAGAATTATAATTATGATGGCTTGTAAATCCTGGACCACTGAACCGATTATAAAAATTACTTGGTCTCTGAAAACGTTGGAAATTGTTGGGTCTAGGAGAATCTTGTCTCACAGTAGTTTCATAGCTTGAAGCTGAAATTCTACTTCTATTAAATCGATTGTAATCTTGGGGACTGTTCCCAATCGGAGTAACGTAACAATCTGGGAGGTGCACTTTTGATTTGTTGATTTTCGCTAATCTTAATAAGCTTATGGACATGAGTAAGCCAAGAGATGGGGTCAGAGGGTGCGTTGATCGTCATTAAGGATTTTAATTCTATAGGAAGGCCATCCGTCAGACCCTCCAAGATCATTTCATGAGTTAGATTTAATTTTTTACCAATATCTAATTTTTTGCGAAAATATTGCGTTATGTCCTCTTTATGATTGTACTTGTAATTGGCAAAATCACCAAACGTAGTTAAAGTGGGGTCGAAAAAATTTTCCTTTAAAATTTGGACTAATTCCACATATTTAGTAATTTTATGGCAGTTTTTTACGCTAAGTGCATACCTTTAGATATCGAGCTACTTACTTCCACGTTTCATCTTTATCTAAATGAGTTTTGTTAAAGTACTCAAGCCATGAATTTATATCCATATCATTCTGCGCGTCAAAGGGAATTATACTTGTTTCAGGTTCAGCGCTAGCTGCCCTTAATGAATCATCAGGATCAGAGATGGTTTTCATTAGCCATTATTCTCTTAATAATACTTTCATAAATAAAAACTAACTCAAAAATAATACTCTTTAAATTTTTCCCAAAACAATATTAAAACCAAAATACATCCTTTAAATACCAAATTTAAAATACATTTATACCAAAATAATACTTTTTAAAATTTTCAAAATAAAAACACTATTATTAAATCAGTAATTATAATTCAATAGTAATAATATCATTTGCATCGCCAATCTTTTTACTAATTGCTTCTGTTTGACTTATTGTGACGAGAATACGAGTGATGAAATCGACACGAAAATACACATTTTTGTGCACTCTTAATTAGATTTTCGCAAAACACGATCAATCACCACACAAGCACAAAGCTCTCGAGAGCAACACAGAACGCCGCTGACGTAGGGAAAGATTTCCATCCTCAAAAGTAGTAGGTCAACGGTAAGAGCACATTTGATGAACGACGAACTTTCGATGGAAACACACAGATCACGCATCACAGGGGGCAGAAGGATGCTTCTCTGGACGTAAAATAATCTGCAGAATACCAGAATACAGGTAACAGAAGGATGATTCTCTTGAAGCAAGAACGCCTAGAGAAAAATGTAGAAACATAGAAGTCGCACAGCGGCAAATTCATCTAAAGTGCGTAACATTTTATCCGTATAATCCTTGGGGTATCTTCTTTTTTAGATAATCCCTTTGAAGGTGGTATCCTACCGGCTTTCTGAAATGTAATTTCTCATACATTATTTGTTTTGTGCAGCCGGGGCAACAGGAATGAGACAAATTTTGGAATATAAAGTGGTAGGTTTATTTTAGCATCCATCTCACAAGCGTTCTCCTTCGTACCTTGAGCAGAAGCCCTACTTATACATATGTGTGCGTCACGAGGCTCCTCCAATCAGCGATATTAATTGAAATCACGAGGTGACGCTATCTTCTCATCAGGAGTGTTCTTAAGGACTTTATGTAATATGACAGATTTATGAGTTTGGCGATTTGGCGGGCGCCAACAGGTTAATATATTTTATACTAAAGAAAGGATTTCGCCAAAATTTAGGAACAGGGATGCAATTTAGGTAGAGAATCGCCAACACATTATTAAGCAATATTATTAGAATTTAATTTAATCAATTGATTTAAAAAACATACACAGTACATATATATATATACATATACACACACCAACAATCGGAATAACATTTCCTCGAAGTATCTCTGTTAAAATATAGATATGAATGAAGCAATGGGAACCATTTTTGTCTGGCTATCAAAATCAGACAAAATTTATGTATTCAGATGACGTTTCGGGTCAGTGTTATTGCTAGTTTAGAACAATCTTTCATGGTAAATAATAAGATATTAATTTTACGGAGAAAATAATTATAATATGGTTTAAACTTCAAATATAAAAATCAAAATAATAATTCTAATTAGTATGAAAAAAACATAACTGAATGAACTTTATTTTTTTCCTCTTCGATATCAATGGCTTCTTTAATGCTGAAATTTTTTTTTTCCAAAATGGCTGGCACTTGCCTGTGCCGGCATTGGCCAATCCTAAGGCCAGATATGGTGGTCTTTTTATTATGGAGGCACCCACTAGGTGGGCCACCCTTGCCTCCTACGAAGGGACAGACAATTACATCCATGCCTTCCACAGGATTCGAGCTCGGGACCTTCGGTATCGAAGTCAGGCTCCCCTAACCACTATATCGTCTGGGCAGCCTTTAATACTGAACTTGTGATGTCAATTTAATCAAGCCTGGCTTATAGTCAGTAGTCTTAAGTCAAATAAAAACATATGAATTTTCAATACGTCAGCTATTCTTATTTTTGCTTAAAATAAATTTCATGTGTGAAAGTATTTGCTCGCATTTATAAGTTGAGCCGAATGCGAACGAAATGCCAAAGCGAGGTTTTTGAAATTATGGAATAAGAATCGGCGTTGCCAAATTTATAGGTTTCTCTTTGAAATTATGTTACTATTTTTAAAAGTGCATGTTCGTTATTGCAACTTTATAATCAAACCAAAGAGTTATTGTAATTATTTTTTTCTTTTTTTCTGAATTCTTCAAGTGCTCGTTTCCTGTTTATGTTTTGTAATTTATATTTATGTAGTGAATTCTATTTTTGGAACTCAAGTGAGTCACTTGAAATTATGAAGTAAGTCACTCAGTGATCCGTGGGTCATAGTTCCCAATGGCGTGATCCAAATCATAAAACGTATAAGATAAGTTTCACTAAGTCGTAAGTTCACTTTCGAAACTGAATCAGTTGATTTAAAATCTACGTCAAAATGAGGTTGTGATTTTGCTTGAATCCAGTATATGGCTCTCCTTTAGTGCAGCATGACAGAAGAAAAAAAACTCAAATTTCTGAATGTGAATATTTGATTGAAATGACAAACTGTTATCAAAACTATTTAAATAAATCCTAACTGATCATGAAACTTGAGTCTTGCTTAAAATCTATCTGCTTTTGTATCATTGATTTGGCTTCAACGTAAATTGAACAGAGGCGTAGTTTAGCATTACTACAGAACTTTGCATCAATACAATATTTTTCTCTCATCTATTTGAGAGAAGGGATGCATTTTTAGTCACCTGTTCGATTCTTCCAGAATTTTTCTGCTGAAAGTGACTGAGCAGGGAATCAAACGTGACGGAGCAGGGAATCAAAGATCAGAAAATCTTGAACTGGTATTGGATTTTAGAGAAGTGGAACTCTCAAACCTGTTTTAATTTTATTTGAATAAGACTTTTTAGAATAAAAAAAAACAGCAGCAGATTATGGAAAGAAATGAATTCATAATTTAGAATATAAATTGAAGCAAATTTCAACTTTTAATTGACTTACAGAAAATAAAATTGAGCTATAAGTGTTTATAGTTTTCTAAATCTTACGCTTAAAATTTTCTACGAAACCGATACGAGTCGAATACATATTTTGTTTAGTTAAAACAACAAGAAATATTAATTCATGAAAACAAGGAAATTACGTAAATAAATAAAAGGGAAAATAAGCTATAGTGTAATTAACACATTAGTTACTTACGTTCTATACTAAAGTTTTCATCAAATGTAATTGATATATATTGTCCAGGTTTTCCAATAGTGTAAGTGCAGTTGAGGTTATCACCGTATACGACAGGATAGTTGGGAGAGAATATTTGCCCATGGTACTGCGTAAAATTACCTCCGCAACCTAGAGAAAAAAATAGAGAAGATATTTAATATTAAAATTTTAATTCCACACAGGAGAAATATGTATCTTTGTGAACATATATCTACTGCAGTGGTCTTCAAACTTTGTTGACTCACGAACCTTTAGAACAATAAGGTTTTTTTCTGTAAGGCATTTCCGGCTTTTAGAAAAATATATCTTAAAATAACCATTTGTACTCGGTGACTCTCATTCAACATGTGATTTGATGCCACAACTCGGGAGGTGACTCTCGCTCACCATGTGATTTGATGCCGCAATTCGAGAGGTGATTCTTCCTCACCACGTGATTTGATGCCGCAGTTCGAAAGGTGATTCTCACTCACCACGTGATTTGATGCCGCAACTCGACAGGTGACTCTCATTCACCATGTGATTTAAAGCCGCAACTCGAGAGGTGACTCTCACTCACCATGTGATTTGATGCCTCAGACTCTCGCTATTCATGTGACTTGATGCTGCAATTCGAGAGGTGTCTCTTGTTCACCACTTGGTTTGATGCAAAAACTCGATGCGCGGCAATAACTGTTTATGTTTAGTTTCTTCGAAGCGGGTTCCTGTGCTGTTTCTGTATAATTATATGAAGTGTAAAATGATACCTCTTTAAACAGAGATAAGATTTTATCTGAAATTAGTCCGAAACTACGAACCTGACTGCATTTTCGGCATTAGTTCGAAAGACAGTCGTGGCAGAGGGACTACTAAAGTTAAAGTTTTTGATCCATAAAAACGTGTTAGGAATCGGAGGTTGAAGTCGAGCCTTGACTTCAACCTCCGATTCCGAAGATATCTGCTTGAATGGAAAGCTGCACTATATCCTGAACTGAAAAGTATCTTCTCAGAGAAATGAAACCGGAAAAACGACGTATTACTGTAATACTTGCCCCGACAAGCCGGGCATGCATCTTGAGAATTGTTACATGAAATACGATACAGAGAAACATTACAGAGACTAATATTTAAGATATCTGTTTATAAAGGTGTAAAGATGTATAAAATGTTAAAATATACTAATTTTATACATTAATGTTTGAGTGTAATGATTTTAAGTTACTAGTAAGAAATGCATCAAAAAGGCCGCGAAACATCTCGAATTGCTGGTGCGCCACGCGAAAAAGACCCCAAGTGCAAAGGGTTAATATTTAAAGTATATCAATATTGTTACATGCGTACGAGTTCCTAATAGTTTGAATGCATACAGTACCGATGATAGCTTGATAAAACTTATTTTTACCGAAAGGAACACTTCAGAATTCTGGAACTTCCCACAGAAAAAGTCGTGCAATTCTTTAGAGTACAATCAGTAGTTACACTTCAAACTAATAAGCATGTTAAACACAATGCAATGCAAAGCGCATATAAAATGAGGAGCTAACTCAGACATATATTAGTATTACGAACTCACGCTGAACTAACAACTAACAACTAACAACAACTGAGAAACTACTGCTGTCTTCTGTCTTATATTGTTTTCATCCGATCACTGAGAAATGTGAGGTCCGGATACGATTAGAGTTGTATATGAAATCTATTGCAGTTATTGAAATAAAATAATTACTCGGTGACTCTCATTCACCATGTGATTTGATGCCGCAACTCGAGAGGTGACTCTCACTCACCATGTGATTTGATGCTGAGACTCGAGAGGTGACTCTCACTCTTCATGTGATTTGACGCCGCAACTCGAGAGGTGACTCTCGCTCACTTTGTGATTTGATGCCGCAATTCGAGAGGTGGTTCTCCCTCACCATGTGAATGGATGACGCAGTTCGAGACGAAAATTATTACGGCGATAAAGCGACCCAATCCAAATGTCGCCAAATTGTTGTAGAATCATTAGGTTTCTTGATGCTGGACACATGAAAAATGTGCAATGCCCTCGCCGACCTTCGAACTTGGACCTCTCAAATAATTGCCGAGTGTGGTGTCGTTACATCACGAAGGCATGCGGGTAGGAGGGAGAAAATACCAATGACTCAAGAGCAGAAGATATCTGCGAATCAAATTGTTTTGTATTCCTTACTGATGAAAAGGAAATGGGTTAGTGACAAGCTAACCTATAACTAAAGAAAGAAGATTCCACAACTTCTTCTATCAGAAACAGATGTCAGCTGGAAGTCTCTTCAATCAAAAGTAAAGGAATTTGTCAGAACAAATCTGATTCAGTTATTAAAATAAGTCAAATTAAAATTTTTGCTAAGACATTGGATGAGTTGTGAAATGTGTGGTTGGGGGGTAAACGTAAGGGAAGTAAATCTTTCGTTTCATATATATCAGCAGCAAAATGCAGAATCAATCAAATTAGTAATTTAAGGTTTATCTAATCATATTATAGAAGAAGACCGGCTTGAAGAATTACATGCAAATTGTGTCTGAGAGCAGAAGCTGAAGCATTTTGCATGGATAAAGAAGAAATGGTCTGGAAACTTTCCATCTAATTATTGGAATTACCGCTTACTATAGCAGGCAAAGTCATTTATAACCTTGCGGAAATTTGATACAGAAAGGTCACTGTAAAGTCGTTCAAACTCAATGTCGAACTTAGAAAGTATTTTTGCTACAGGAATACAGATAGATTCCTATAGATAGATAAGTGGTTTATAGAAACGATTCAGATAGGCGCGTTGTATATGAGTTTAATTTCGTACAATTACGATGTTGATAAAAAAAGAGACAGTTAATCAGTTCCACTGGGGGTGATCATCTGGCTTCCTATGTAGATTATCCAAATTATTCCAAGAAAATGCATCGAAGGGCATTTCACTGAACCAGAGAAAACAGAAACCAAACTGAAGAAACTAAATCTACTGCTGAAGCTAGAAATAAAGACACGATAACATATAGTCAAATTCTCTCCGCTAATCAAGGCAGTACGGATGAAGACACTAAATCCACTGCTCAAGCGAGAAAAGACGCTAGAATATATAGTCAAGTTATCTAAAAAAACTGAAGCCAAACTGAAAAAAAAACTAAACCCACTGCTCAAGCGAGAAATAAAGACACGAAAACATATAGTCAGATTCTCTTCAGTAATCAAGACAGTAGAGATGAAGACACTAAACCCACTGCTCAAGCGAGAAAAGACACTAGAACATACAGTCAGGTTATCTCCAGAAGCAAAACAGTACGGATGAAGAAATTAAATCGACTGCTCAAGCGAGAAATAAAAGACACTAGAACATATAGTCAAGTTCTTTCCAGTAAGCAAGACAGTATGGATGAAGAAACTAAACCCAACATAGTATACACTTGACGAGGATGTCCGAACTCTATCGCGTTGTCAGCCTCTTTTTCATCAGGAAGATCCAAGAATATATTTATAATCATCTGGCATAGTTAAATTTATGTGATTCATTTAAAATTCAGTGCTAACATAAAATAACATAAGTTATTTATCTTTAATAAGCATACATGTAACAAAACGTTTGTTTACGCTAAGTTCTCTAATCCAAAATAAAGGTACAAAGAAAATTAAAAGGCAGTATATAAAATATATTCTGTAATAAAAGTGCAAAGAAACTTAAAAGGCATTTATTTGAAAGAATGGTAAAATAAAGTTACCTATTGAAAACTTTATATTAAAACCATCGGCATTTATTTGAGAGTTGGATCGAAATGTTATTTTCATTTTCCTTCCTTTACTTTCAATGGGTTCAGGTGTCGACGATCCACATTTTCGGTCTCTAAATTCCCACAATTCATCATTTTCATTATAATCTTCAAACTGCAACAAATATTTAATATTTAAAAAGTGTTAAGTATATGCCAACAACATATATTTCCTTCAAATATTATTGATTCTTCGATAAAACGACTATTTTTAGCGGTATTATTTATAAAAATAAAGAGAGATAATAAAAATTGACATAATAAATAAAGTGATAATAAATAAAAAGAAATTATTCAAAGAAACTGTATTAGGTTAGGCTTATATTTTCCTGTTTGTTACATTCTCTGTTTGGCACCAAACAAAAAGCCTTTCCTGCTTTCAAATACAGTGCAGTTCAGACAAAATTAGTCAATTTCAAATTTTTATTACTTTAAAAATTAAAAACACAGGATTAGTGAAAGATGATTGTAAAGGGAAAGTGTCAAAGGCTTTCTTACAAATGTTTAATATATGATTTGCTTTAATTACATGAATAATATAAAAGCGAAATGAAGATTCCCGCCAACATGATCCTGCTAACACTGCAAGTGTGTCACTGATAACTGTCTCTAAATCAACATGAAAAGATTTTTAAAGGTCGTTTAGACTTATAAGAACAGACAGAAAATGTACCTAATTTTTTTCTTGCCTACTAATGGGAACTAATGAGGAAATATTCTCTGAGGACCTGAGGAATTAGCTTTTTAACACGAAAGCATTTGATTCAATGAGCCCTACTGGAGATTATTGCAATAAAAATATACTAAGAAAAGATTCTACTCTTCAGATGCCATTTTTATGTTTTCTTAAAACTTATTTTAAATTAGAAGATAGTGCATTACTGAACCTACATGATTATTATTGCTTGTATTCTCAAATTTAGGCATTTTTATCTTAAATTAAACAATAGCTGAAACAATCTGTATACAGAGACGTCGCTGCTTAAGTTTAATTCATGGACTTTGGAAACGAAAGGATTCAAAGTTCGTTTGGCGTTTTTGATTTATTTCTTACTTCTTCTAACTCTGGATTCGGTTTCAAGTACTCTCAGACGAAACAATTTCCTGAAATGTCTGCGTTGCTATGGTATTTAGTAGAATTATCACAATACGAAAAACGCATTAAATACCAATTCCTAATTTCTAGCATTAACCATATTTAGTTGCTTAATTTCCCTCTTAGCCCTTTCGGATATCTAATTTAGTATAATAATGCTAAATACTTTCTGGAATCTAATCTAATCTAAATTTAAAGCTTGATTCATTCTCATAACTTTCAACTTAAGCTCTGAATTCGGGAACTGCATTTTGTACATTAATAATCAATGACTCGGACGTTTGAGATTTAGATCAGTGAACATGCATTTCAACATTTCAAAGCCGTACCGTCATCCCTTCGAAATCCTCTGTGATTTCTAAATCATCTTTGATAGATAAGACCATCCAGCTTTCATTCCTATGGAGATAAAAGAGAGGAGGAAATGAATGTAGATTATAAAAGTACCATTCATTAAATTTCAATCCCCATGTGTTAGTATAGAATACACGTTTGTAAGTGTATATGATCGGTCAGTGTAAGTCACATCAGAAACTTTGTTATCGAACAACACACACATTAATTGTTTACATTATATTGATTAAAGCTTAACTGCATTTGTGTGTAAAGAGCGTATAGCACGAAAAGATTCAGAGCGGTGAGAAAATGGAAAAAAGGAATGTTTGGTTGCCAGCGCAAGGACAGTGAAAAGTAAATTAATAACGCTCTGTAACAGAAGAGTGAATATACCTCCCAGCCTATCAGGCCTACAGTTCTGATACAAAGGTCAAAGTGAAAGCCTTGTTGCATATTCTATTCTTAGTCTTTATGGTGACAACTCAAACTAATCCATTATTATCAAGATGTATCTCAGTAATTCATCTCAATGGACCGAGTTCCATCTTCAGTGATCTTCAGTGATGCTGTCGATTGTTCTGTTACAGTGAAGCCTATAAGGCCCTCAGTTCTGATACAAAGGTAAAAGTGAAAATTTTGTTGCATGTTCCTTAAATGTTCTATTCTTAGTCTTTACGGTGACAATAAGAACTAATCCATTCTTATCAAGATGGACCTCAGTAACTCGTCCAATGGACCGAGGTCCATCTTCTGTGATGAACACGACGCCATCAACCTTTCTGTTGCAGTGAAAAATAAATTAATAACGCCCTCTAGCGTGAGTCTGATTGAACAACGTCCTTCAATTACTTGAAAGTGGACGTTTCATCTCCTCCAGAAATGTTGCAACTTTCCAATTCCTCGCCATTGTCTTTGTGCTTTCTTCCGTTTTACAGTAATAGGTATAGGCATTAATAGTGTCTTTTACAACTTTCTCTTCACTTAAACCATTTTACAATTTATTGCCATAACTTTTATCTCCTTTAAAAATCTCCAGACTTTAAATCGCATAGACAGGTAATTCATTTTGTTTTAATCTCTAATCCAAAGGATACAGAAGAATGTATAATTGGGGGGATGTATTGAAAGTAGCAATATAATCTTGTAAATTTAATATTTCTTGTATATTTTTAATCATGTAAATTCTTCCTTACACTTTCCTTCAACTTTCTTATACACATCATAGTTTTTATCTTTGACTTTTAAGCCGTAAAATTAGAGAAAAAGGAAGAAAAATTACATGGTAATTGGTAATAGCGTTCAGAAGAAACTAAAAGTTTCTCTAGACGGACTCTACCTCATATGCTTCATACTCACCAGTAAATAATCCTTGTCACAAGAGCTGCTCGTTTCGATGTCGAAGCGACCCACGAATTCTAGCCTTACTATGTATCCAGGTAAATATTCGATGATCCAAACGCACTCTTCATTGTTTCCATAACGGGACGGGTAATTGGGGGATGATATGTTACCTCGTGGCATACCGATTACGCCTCCGCAACCTGGAATAAAGTAGTCATTAACATGCGAAATAAGCGCCATTTAGGTTCTTCGATAGTCAAAGCAATTCATTTACGCATTGCGTTGTTATTTATGCGAGCAGTACTAGGAAAAAGTCAGATAAAATTTGAAGATATTTTAGTTTAGAGAAATAATTTGAACAAAAAAGGCTGTGTAAGTTAAGTACAAGGAATTACCAAATATATCATTTCATTAAAATAGCATGTCAAATCATTAAGCTGAAACAAACTTATTTCAATACAACGCTAGTTCATCATGATGTTGGGGGCACCCAGACCTGGCTACCTGAGGCTGCCTTTACACAGCTAAACGTCCCCAATCGCTAGAGGCGATCCAAAGAGGCATAATACGCAGGTCAACCCAGGGTAACGATTTTTGCTTCAAAAGTCTGGGTTTTGAAGCAGAAGTCAGTGGAGGATAGCCACGCATCCTCTATTGACTTGTCCACAGAAAACGTCCTTGAAAAAGTGCAAAGAATGACACCGACCTTCCCCCATATATCAGTTTCATAATATTTAATGAACATTTTCAACGTTATTGTTATAAATTAAGAACGTGTCATATAATATCTACGTAGCGGCGACAACCAAAATGTTTGAACTTTATTTGTTCATGTACTTTGTTTTATGTTACTGCTTAGTCTTTAATTAACTTCTCCCTTCTGCAAATTTAAAATCTTTGCAATATAATGTGTCACATTCTTCTCTGTTTATCTATATATATAAAAAGGAAGAGTCTGTCTGTCTGTGTGTGTCTTTTGTTAGTGATGCGCGTAAGCTAATAGACCTAGGGCTAGGAAATGTGGTACATTGTTGCGTGTAAACAAAAGCCAGTGCCTCTCGAAGCGATTTTTTTCAAAATTCGAAAGAGTTTTTTATTTTATGTTTTTTGATAAAATCGCATCAAATAGATAATTCTCTCTCATTACATCAGCAACAATGGCACGTAGTTATTTTTGCTAATATATCACCGTTGCCACTGTTGCTAATATCAGCACTGTTGCCACTCGGAAAAATGAGGGCTATAAATATGTGCAGTTTTTAAATTTAATGTTTCTCTTGGATACTGGACGTTTGTCGACAGAAGGTAACGGGAAGTTGGTTAATTTATTTATTAGGATAATTAATACTTGTATTAAGAGATATTGCTTATTTTCATTGTAGGTTTTTTATATGTAATACGTTTTTATTGAAATTTGTGTTTTTTGTGTTTGTTTGTTTTATTTTGATAAAGTTGTTGTGAAGAGTAAAATTCTGTTCAGTTTTTAAATTTAATGTTTGTTGTTGTTCCCTTTAGGCATTTTCCAGGTACATTTAAAAGCTAGACGAAAGCTGGCCGCGTAGCGACTAGCATTATTAAAATTTCTTCCTTAAAAATATAAATTCGTTCAGCGTGATTTAAAGCTATGCGTTTCTTTCGCAGATGCCAAACGATTTAAGTTAAATTTAATCAAACCTTGTCATAGTTCATTTCCAAAGCAAATTACAAAATTACTGAGACAAAAAAAATCAGATAAATTTGTTCATAAGAAAAGAGCTTTCAAACTGAAACTAATGTTACAAAAAGTTGAGGTGTTTTACTTATAAAACTGACCTCTTTGAATCTCCGAAGAAGTCATCCAGAAGCCAGGGCCAGTCCCGAACTCATCAGAATGAAATTTAATTACGAGATAATTGTTCGTCGATGTAACTGGATGAGGACTGTGATCTCCACAGAACTTGCCCAATACTGGAGAATCATAACGATGACCATTGACAATCTTGACATAGTCTTTGCTACAGTCATTCTCCATGCGAAGGTCCACTGTCGTGAGCTGAGGGTTGATTGAATTGCGTTTTTAATAATATTATTTTTTTTATACAAACAACAAGTAAAAGAAGATATGATTGATCATTAAATAGTTAGAATTCAATGTCTTTTATCCAGATCAGTGGCTCAGAACCATTTTTTTTTGCTCCGTACAGCCCTTTCACCATTGCTAAACGATCATCCTTGTATCCTCCTTTCCAAAACTCAAAACACATTTATAGATTTATTTAACTTTAGATTATTTCTTTATGAGTTTTTATAAATTACAGAAGAGAAGTATAGGAAATGTTGATAAATATCAAAATTTGAATAAACGTAGTTTTTTATATTCATAAACTAAAACTTAATACTTAACAGTTTACCTATTACCTAAATACTTAACAATTAAAACACTGTCCGCATTTTCCCTGAAACTATGAAATTCTCTCTTTGGTTGGGAACAACTCGTCTAGATCTCTAGAGACGGAATCCCAAAATTAATGGAACATTGATCATTGAAAAGGTTTATTGAAACACCTTTTAGCATGCAAGAAATTTTTTACGAGAAAGGAAAGAATATTGTTACGTGTTCATAATGGATTGAGTGCACATCGAACCTAGCTTGATCACATTTATTTTTTTAATACCACTATAGAGTTCCGGAACTTTTTATAGAAAAGTACTCAACAGCTCTTCTTAGTATGAAAGAGCACAACCTGTAGTTACAACTTCAGAATACTAAGAACGTAGAACAATAAAAATGCAAAAATGCTTCAAATACAAAAGCTCGAATAGTGGATATTTCACTACGCTCGATACTTTGAGCTAAACTGATGATGCTCGTTTTTGTCTTATACAGTTCTTCCTCGTTCACTGAGAAATTTCCAGAACCATCGACTTCTTGAAACTGCTGGAAGGCATGCACATATAGGGCCAGATACAACTATAGTTACATAGGAATCAGACCGACCAGTTTTAGGTACACAGAGATCGGACCAAAATGGCATTAAGTGATTGCCAAGTTTATAATAAAATTTAGGTCCCGAAACCAAGCCAGTTTGGCTCTACCTCGCCCATTTACCTCAAAGTTAAGTAGACTTGTTCTTGTAACCATATTGTTTCAGCCCCAACTCTTCTTTTTCTTTTTATATTACGTTACACAAGAGATAGTACTATTTACAAAGAATTTCATTAAAATTATTTACATTAATACAAAATTAGTAGCAATATTTATTTTTTTCTCCTTTGTTTAAACAAGAAGCAGAACGTCCTTCGCTATCTAAAATGAGTAGGAACTTCAATATTAAATGAAATACTGTTCTGTTAAGAAAATTCTTGGAAAGGTCCCATCATATGTGTGAACCCTGCAAAACTTGCATTTTGTTATTAGAGAGTGACTGCTTACTGTTAGTAGAAGAAATGTATGAAAAGACATCATCTGTGACAGAACAGTTCGTTCTGTACTGCAAAAGGAATCAAGGCAGTTTCGGAGTATTTAACGAGTGGTCGTACTTTCAACAAAGAAGTTTCATACATCGAAATTAGATCTCTATCATGTCAGAACCATCTTATTTGCTAAATTTTCCATCCTCTAACTCTCATGTTCTCTTTTACCAACATCGTTCTACATATGTTTTCACATAATAGAAGCTATCCAAAACAAAGTAGACAGCCAGTCTATGACAGATGTTGAATGCGTGTGTTCCAGCTGATGATAGGTCAGCAGTTTGGCTTGGATTGGTTTATTGGTTTATAGTAAAGCACACTAAGGGGAGAAATGCCTTCATCGAGGACTTTATAACGGGTTGCATATAGCGAAAGGCACGAGAACTTTCATGCAGCCACTCTGTTCGCTAGGATTCAACTCTTTATCGAACTATCAGATTCAGCGGTTTTATAACTTAGGTTACTTGTATTACAACGAACGTTTTAAACGAAGAAGTAACGGAAAACTTTAAAACCTGCCTTTCCAAAATAAATGTACACCGATTTGTGCTTTGACACAACAATACAAATGAAAATGTCAAATGTCTTAAGCTTCGGAAATTAATAACACAGATTAAATTTGAAAATAGTAATTTAAACAGTGAAATACCTTGTATCAATTAAGAATATATATCAATGCATGTTATACAGAAGCCCAGGGATTTGAAATTCAAATTTACGAGAAATTCAAAACAGATTGACATATGTTTTTCACATTATCTATGTTAATTTTATGGGTGACTGACACAGATTTTTCTTCACTAAGAAAAATATTTGCTCCACAATACATCACTAAAAATAGATCAGTAACAAAAGCTCTAACTCCGTTCTTTAAACAAAACAGGAATGAAAGATCTCAAGATAAAACTTTTGAAAACATGTTCGAATTAAAAATCACTAAATATTTCAAATAATTAAAGAAGTGTTGGCTAATTTTTGATAAAATTATTAATGAATTATTAGTGTATACTACAGAAAAACATAATTTAAAATTATTCATTAATTATTTCAAAAATATTTTAAGCGTTAAAGGACTTTTATAAACGACATGCAAACAATTTGCTTTGAACGAGCTGTCGTAGTAAAAATGAGCAATTTACCGATATTTCTTCACCACGCGGCACTCTCAGAATCCAGTGACAATCAGTATTGGGTGGATAACTGTTTGGATATCCGGGCGAGGTAATGTTTACATCGGTGGTTACGTCAATAATTCCACCACAGTCTAAAATGAAATTCATTAATTAAGTATTCTTCTTTCTGATTAATAAAGTTTAGGCATGGTATATAGTAACATATAAGTAAAGAAAACATAAAATAAAGAACACATCAAATCCAAGAAAAAGAAATATTAAAAAACTATAAAAAAACATAATATACATAATTTTCTACTCGATCTGAGTGATGTAAAGCCTTTCGAAAAAGTATAACAAAAAGAGCCTGTCGCAAATGTTTTAGATTGTACATGGTCAAATGCTCACTTAGAAATATACTCACAGGGAAAAAACTCACATGGATATATACTCATATAGAAATAAGCCCACTGATAAATAAAATACGTAGAAATATCCTTAAATTAATCCATCAATAAATTAATCAATTTGAACATCGTACATAGACTTCATTTTTAAAATAAAAGTTATTTGATCATTTAAAAAAATTTTGTACAAATGCTCAAATAAATCTTTTCAGGGGCGGTATAGAAAAGAATGAAAACTATAATAAAATTTTGCATGTACTATAATACTTTATACTACTGCCCTTGTACGCCATTTTTATTCCTGTAACTGCCAACAGTTAATTTTTTGTTTTTTACTCTTTTTTTACAAACTTTTTATGTGTATCTACAGAAATTGGTGTTTGAATGAAGTTATTTAAGTTTGGAACAAAAAACGTTCTAGAAGACCACAGTTTCCAATCGAAGTGTGGAATCATTATGAAGAAGCCTTCGAAAAATTTCCTAAAACCACAAATTGTTACAAAAGCTTTCAAAAGGTATTAAATTCATTACTTAATTGTAGCCATCCCAGTATGTGGTTTTTATTTGACGTACTCAAAAAAGATTTAGCCTGTCAAAGTTTATTATTAGCTATTGTCAATACGTGACGTACTGAAGTAAAAAGAAAAAAAAATGAAAACGAACGTTTTGTAATAGCGAATCATGTAAGAAACTATGATGAAATCGATGATAAAATTAAATATTTACATATATTAGCTAATATTCAGCACGTTTATGTAGTTAAAGCTTTTTGAAATATGTATTTATGATTTATATATAATAAGGTATTTTATGTAATTTAAATAAAATAATTATTTATGTTTGCTTATTCTTCTAAACGTTTATATTATAAAATGCGTAACCTATATTTACTATTATTTTTTTTTTAAGAATTAAAATTGTAATAAATTTTTACTGTATATTCTGTTTCATTTTTCTTCCTTCTTTCCCTCTTTTTCCTAATTCAAAACGGCCCATTTGTTATTCTTATATAGCAAATGATTCTACACATAAGTTATACAGTTTTTAATATATATATATACCATACATGTTTTGGTAATTTAAATAATTCTTCTTTGAAAAATTCAAGTAGGTGTACGATGTTCAATAATCTAAGGATATTTTTACATATTTTATTTATCAGTGAGCTTATTTCCATGTGGGCATAGATCTATGCGAACTTTTTCCCATGTGAGCATATTTCTAAGTTAGCATTTTTCCATGTGAGCTTTTTTCTATGTGGGCATATTTCTGTGTGGGCTTTTTACCTCTGAACATTTATACCTGTGAGCATTATTCTGTGAGCATTTGTCCTGTGGGCTTTTTTCCTGTGGGCATGTTTCCAGTCACCGTGAAATCAATCAGTAGAACTACATCCAGTCAAAGGAAGCAACCACACGTCAAAATCTATTGTTGATTTCCTGGCAGAAATGGAACAAGAAGCGGGTTCAAGACCATACGCTTCCCTCATATCCGTACTAAATCTCCTGATGTATCATGTATGGATTTTTGCGCGTTTGGACTTTTAAAAAGCGGTTTATCCAGACGTCAAACTATAACCTTCGACTTTGGAAAGCTGTTCAAGAGGAATGGAATAAAACACCTCTTCCGATGCTACGAAAAGCTTTATTAGAAATTACGGTGTAGAAATATAGCGAAGTACGAGTTATCAAATATATAGCGAAGTATAGTAAATATAGCGAAGTATGAGTTATCATTTAAAACACAAAACGTTTAGGTAAAAGTTTTCTGTAAATGCAATGAATATTATCAAAAAAGTGTCCGAACAGCGTCTATATTTGCGAATATAAACCGAACTGAAAGTAAGCCGTGGGATAAAAGTTTGCTGAAAACATGCATTCAAAATTGAAAACCAGCTTATAAGCTGATTAAAACTGACCTACGAATCCCTCTGAATATCGTCAAAAATTAGAATAGATAGTTTAATTTAGCTAGAACTATTATTTTTGAGGAATGCCAGGTTCTCATCTATCTAAAAATCAGGCCAGAAATAATTGTTCAAAAGATAATTGCATCAGAAGTTCCATGAACGAAGCTGAAGATATTTTCTGCGAGACGGATCCCGAAGCTTTCGGATGATCTTGAATACAGCAGAAAAGGACTTCTAGAAACTAGTAGAAAATCCGAATCGTATATTTATATTGAGAAATTTGATTAATGTAATAATATTAGGATTACATAAAATAAAAATAATATTTCGCAAGTAAATGCTAAATATTGAAATTATTAATCTAGTTTCAATCACTCATTTTAATAATTGAATTATTTTAAAATTATTTTGAAGTCGTATATTAATCTGGCCCCAAAAGTCCGCAGCAAGACATTTGTTGAATCATTTCAAGTTTATGCCACGAAAGTATATTATGAAACTTTTCATGCTCATTTCTGTAAAAATTCTGATTCCGATAAAAGTTTTCTGACTCTGATAAAAAACTGAGAATCATTCACTAAGACTTTGGGAAAATTTGCTGTTACGTAATAAGTTAGGACCGTAAACTTCTTTAACATTAAAAGTGCAAACGAACTTGAACAATAGTTATAAATGTACTAGTGCAATGAGAAATAATGCTCAAAAATATAAATCTGGAAACATTATAAGGTATTTCTCTCGCCTTCTTAGCATGCTTTCGTAGTGTAGTGTTCAGCACACTGAGCGCGCATTCCAGAGGTCCGTGGTTCGATTCCCGCTGAAGGCGTTGCTCATTTTTCATCTTTCCTGCTTTAAAAATAATCTAATGTCTCTAAAACATCACACTGCAATCTAACACTTTGAAGAGTTTAACATTAAATTTCAAAGAATTAAAAAATGTTAAAATTTACAACCGTTCTGAAATGAAGTGGCTATGAAACAGTTATGAAAGTTACAAATATTAATAAGTTACGAATATGTAAAATTTTATAAGATTAAAAAGAAATTGCATGTCTATCTTAGCATATGTATTTCAACACCTGAGAATCCTTTAAGTTAAACAATTATGATAAAACTACTTGTTTCAGAACGCATTTCACAAAAATTAAACATACAGGCATGAAACTTTTTAATCTAGACCAGCTGTTTGAAATGTCAGTCTGTAGAAACCAATTTGCTTTGGTATTATACCATCCTCAAATAATGCAATGGGCAAACTTATTTAACAAAGAAGACTTATTCAAGATGTAGCTGTGCATTTAATTTCAATTGTTTAGGCGGACTCGAGGTTTGCAATAAATATTTCTTTAAACTGCCAATAGCTTTGATTTTGACAGACCATGAAATCCACACACTGGAAATAATAACATGCGTCCGGCAGGTTTCGTCAGAGATATAAAAAGGTACTTACTGCTGACATTATAGGTTCCATGGACTCCTCGGAAAGCTTTATCTATTAAACCTGTCAGCCGAACTGTGGTGGCAGCTAACGGTGAAGTGATTATTACAGGTGACGTATTGTTTTCACAGTATCGTCCAAAGTAAAAGCTTTCCCCTACCAAACAGAGAAAAAAAGTGAAATAATTGAATAAATAAGTTTTAATTTATGTAATTTCTAAATATAGGTTTCTACGTTGTACCTTATCTAATTTCTGATCTCTAAATTACCTTAGCAGAATGATTATCAGTAGTTTCATAATTTTAGGTAACTTCATTTATTTCATTTCAGTCATTAAGGGTTTATAGTAAATAACCCTGTTCTCACATTATTTTAGCCATACATTTGTCAACTCGCTATAGAATTCAAGTTAATTAAAGCATAAATAAGTGCAGAAATTTGAGTTTTCAGGTAGATGTGAATTTACTAATAAAACTAATAAATTTCAGCAAGGTACAGCTTATAATAGCAACAAATTCATATAACAATAGAAAGTTATTTGGAAGAAAACACAAAGTAAAGCTGCAGAATTGCGAAATGTCATGTTCGATGCACCATCGGCAGCAACCCATGTCTATTGGATGATCACAAATGAAATAGCCGTTCAATTAAATCAGTTATTTACTGGCTGTGAAAGAAAGCAAGCGTTGTGGTTAAACCATACTTTTTATGCCATGTGACAATATAACACGTGGCTGGTGTAACGGTAGCATTTGTTTTGTTCAACGAGAATTAAATTTTGTATGCTACCGATATCACATCATCACAGAACCTGTCATCAGGCAATCAGTTAGTTAATAGCTGCCATACTTTTACAAATTCTAACTGGAAATTTCTGTAGTGGCTGTTACTTTTAACTGGATGGTCTGCAGCATTTCAGGAGTTAAATTACTATGTGCTTGGATATTACGGGCTCATAGATCCTTATCATGGCGGATAGATAAGCTGTAGATCTGGATCTTTTACGTAATCTTATAAGAAAAAATCGACTGTTGTTAGCTCTGATGACCACGATGACCCCTTCACATTTTCCTTCAAAATCAACAATTCTGTGCCTGATGTTGTCCGACGATAAGTTTCACATTGATGTCAGCCGTTGCTGAGACTCCATCATGTTAGAAACGTTGAGAAAATAGATGTAATAACCGCAAAGAGCATCTGACACTCTAATTTGCAATAACTTCAGATACCTTCTTTAGTTAAGGTTCCATCATAGAACACAGGTAGTATGTGGCAAGCGCTCCAAATATTGCAGTAGATATTGAAATACCACCGCTCCTGATAACATATCTCTTTTTGCCATGGTGGGTTTTCAGGTGCCTTCTAGGGAGAGTTATGTCATTTTAACATCCCTTTGCAATCGAATTTCATTTCATGTGTCGGCATAATATTAATCGAGAAATTCGGCTGTATGTCTATTCCGAAGTTTCACCAGATCGGAATGCTTCTGATCATTTCTTGGCAGCATTTTGTTAGCTTTGCATTGCACGAGCAAACTCACAATTCACGCGTATGTTACCATACACGGAAAAATGTATGGCCACATGCCACATTAATGTTTCTCGTAGTGGACTAGTGCCCACTTGCTGAATATGCAAATGAACGGGGACGATTTGTAACAGCTCCTTTTTCTCTTAGCTGGAAACGATACTGATAATAGTATCTTCAACAGGATGAGAACGATAAGAGAAACCTAATGCATACTGTCTGTCTTGTCCGACTGCCGCAGTCTCCATTTAATCTTTATCGTTGAATTAACTAACCGTGTTTAGACTCAAATGTCAAGTCCACCCAGAGATCATTATTTTGTAGTTATCAATGAGATATGACATATCTTTTCCCCAAATGTGCATTCCATCTTTGAGTTAGCCATCCATCCATCACTGATTTGCAGGTAAATTTCTTTTAACGATTTACTGTGTATAAAATCATTAATGATATATTTTTGCCGGTGATCAGTTATTACGAGATATGCATTTCGTTTCTTTTCGGGTATATGTTGTAGGGTTCTTCACTCCTTTTATCTAAGATAAACGTTGAGGGACCTAGTGAACTATGTAGTGATTTATTCGCTGAATTTAAACAATTAAAGATGTAGACTCAAGATGGGTTAAAATACTCTTTATTTCACTCAAGAATAACAGTTGCCCCACTCGGGTTTAAATTCAGAATAAGAAATAACAACTAAACTATAACTAACTAAAGGAGACATAGCCGAAGCTAATACAAGTATCTGAGGAAGTTGTCCCTTAATTTAAAGTACCCGGCGCATATCAAAAGGCACGCAATATACTGCTGAATGCAATAGTATATACTGCCGAGTGTTATTTATTCCTTAAAAAATTTTGAAAAACAATTCAAAAGGTTTCCTTCAAAATTTAGCATTTCCCACAGCTATTTTTCAGTCGAGGTCCAGGTGTAGAAAGTAAACTTCAGTAAACTTCATTATCTCTGAAACACTTTTTCAACTGGAGAAAGTGAGTTTAAAAAATATTGGACATATCATGACATCGATAATGTACGATTTCTTTGCCACCATAATTAGTAAATAAATTTATTTGCCATTCAGTTTTTGCCATAAATTTATTTGCCATTATTATAAAATTTTGCAAAAGTATATTTTTGTTTTCTGAGATAGCATGAAATCCAAATATCTATTTTCATCATTTATTCTTTAAAAAATTTTGAAAAACAATTCAAACGGCTTCCTTCAAAATTTAGCATTTCCCATCAGCTATTTTTCTGTCGAGGTCGAGGAGTAACAATGTATCTAAGGCTTCAGTAAACTTCATTTTATCTAAAACACATTTTCAACCGGAGAAAGTGAGTTTAAAAAATATTAGACATATGATGTCACAGATAATATACGATTTAATTTGCCATCATAATCAGTAAAGCATTTTATACATGACAACTAAAGTACCATGCACACAGTATTATAGTTTTCTTCTCTAAATATATATTTCCTGCATTCAATTCATAAACCAAGATATAGTCATCAAGTCATAAAATGTCAAAACATGCAGTTATAAATATTATTTTAACTAAACGGAAATATAGATGAAATGGCAAGGATTGAAACTATTGAGTATTAACAATTTAACATAAATAATGATAGTTACATGAAATCGCAAGGAATGAAACTGTTATGTATTAACAATCTAGCATAAATGATGAAATTTACATGAAATCGCAAAGAATAAAACTACTATGTATTATAAATTTAACATAAAAAGTGAAATTCAGAAGAAATGACAAGAACAATTTAACATATATAATGAAATAGTTGAAATAGCAAAAAATATTTACCATAAATAATTTAGAAGAAATGACAAGAAAATTTAATATACATAATGAAATTTAGTTGAAATAGCAAGAACAATTTACCATAAATAATGAAATTTAGATGAAATGGCAACGAATGAAAATGTTACGTATAAACAATTTAACATAAATGAGGAAATTTAGATGAAATGGCAAGGAATGAAATTACTACGCATTAACAATTTTACATAAATAATACAATTTATATGAAATGGCAAGGAATGAAACTATTATGCATTAACAATTTAACATAAATAATGAAATTTAGATGAAATAGCAAGAACAATTTAGCATAAATAATGAAATTTAGATAAAATTACAAGGAATGAAACTATTACGTATTAACAATTTAACATAAATAATTAAATTTAGATAAAATGGCAAGAAATGAAACTGTTATGTATTAACACTAACATAAATAACGAAATGTTTCATTACCGCTTTTACCATAAACGTACACTCCACCTTTCCTGCAATAACTAGATTTCAAACCTGGCACATCTAATACATCAAGCTTGATTACAACAGTGCGGTTCTCTACACCATCCCCTTGCAATTTCCATCTGCAATCTATATACGTGTTATTAATTGCCGTAAAAGGAGGAGAGGAAATATTTCCGCTTGGGAGAAGAAGAGGCCCTCCGCAATCTGCAATGATATAAGATATTAGATTCCAGCAAATAAGAAGATGCATTTTTCCGATACTGAGCTAGTAAATTATCGCAAAAGTCACTTACTCGCTTCCTCGTCAAAGGAATAAGTTAAAGAGAAACCTTGTCCAGCTGCGAGACCATGAGTCATGAAGACTACAACAGCAGTGCTAGTGTAAGACCGTATGTCAGCAGGGAGCGAGTTTCCGCATAATTTCGTTAAGTTCGTCTCTCCACGCCTCCAGTAAGAAATATTCATCGTCTGCAAGTTAAAAAACATTTGTCACATATATCATTTAAACTAACGTATATGAGGGACATAAAGTAAAATAAATCAACTCCTAGCAATCCTTATTCCTCTAAAATGAAACTGTAGATCTAAGGATCGTAGATATCGATGTAACAATAATCAACTAACCTATGAACATTTATAGCTTCGTTAAAAACATTTCAAAGCCCACGTTTTCCAGACCTGTAGCATTTGAACACCTGCTGCCTTGACAGGAATTTCGGGCCAATCAGCGGCCGAGTGGTAAAGTTTCTGAACACTGATATTTCGGTTCGCGGTTCGAATCCTGTCGAACGAGCTGACTGCATGAGCATTTTCGTGATTTTCCCCATGTGCAACGTGTATATGAGTCAGTTTCAGTTAGTGCTCCACGAAGATATCCCTCACCTCAGCCAGACAGCCTTCCAGTGCTTAACTGTAATTAGGTAAAACAAAACCAAACCGTAGATATCACGTTACATGCGGGACATGGCAACGCCACCTAGACTACAAAGCCAGAATACTGGTGCGAGAATGAAGCTATGAGTCATCACACTTAGGCTTAGCACTGAACGAAGCTGCAGGTGTGAATTCGTCGATGTGTGTGGCATAACCGTTGCGCTTGCACGTGTTTTAAAATCGTTGTCAATTATTCTTATAGTATTATTATGTTTTAAGGCACTTATATTATTTCACTATGGTGTTTAAATGTTGTGTACCCCTATGTAAAGGAAACTATAATGGTGGACCTCGTGTCCACGTATTTTCCTTCCCAAGAAATCCTGAATTGAAGAAGAAATGGATGGATTTATTCAATAAAACGAGACAATTTCGAGCCAACTAAAAAATTCTAAGGTAAGTTAATTTATATTTATTATTACTAATGTTAATATTTTAATAGTACTTACTTACCTAAAGATAACGCTATTCTTTTGTAAAATTATATGCTGCTGTAATAACTACTTTTGTCACATTATTTGCTTAAATTTCTTATAGTACACGATTTTTTTGCATATTTTAGAAAACGTTAAGGTATTTCTAAAGGGGTATCGTACTATTGGTCGTATTACATGATGTATAAATCATAATATGTAGCCAAAGCACGATGTAAAATTAAAAAAAAAATTAACTTAGAGAAATTACGTATTTTATTTTTGTTTATGCAAACATTGCAAATTGTGTTAATGCTTGCTTGAAGTAATGCTTGCTTGAAAAATGCTTTTAAATTAGATTGTGTTGTCTGACATTATTTAAAATATTTTAAATAAGGTGAAGGTATAGTTAATGTATGAGAAAAATATATAATATAATTTTGATAATAATTATAACACCTTTCAGAAAAAAATAGTTTAACATTTGCTGTGCTGAAAATTTAACTTTAACTGATTAGTATTTATTTTAAAGAAAATCCGATTTAAATTTAAAAATCAAGTGCAAGTGCTTTAAAGGAGGAAAGTAATTATAAATATATTAAAATAAAACGTCAACAGTAAAAAAATAGATAAGTTCTTTCCTAAACTATATGGTCGTTGCGCTACCGTAATTTCGATAGCCTAACTGGGATGACTCATAAGTGGAGCTTTCTGGCTTTGTAGTCTAGGTGGCGTTGGACATGGTAAGCATCCCTGACGAATTTGACAATGCGTTAGGAATTTGAAGAATCTCTTTCTCAACCACATCAAGTACGGAACAGTTTAGAGCTTCAAATGATAGCCTAGGCAGAAATGCATTGGTTGATATCAAACAAATCGTAGAGGACACAGAAACACACAGTGGAGGGAGATAATTCTGTCACCACAGTGCTTTTGCAATACAAATTCTAACGACAGGTGTTCATCCCTCGCTTACAAAATGTGAGCCTCGACTGAATCAAGACGGAAACAAGTTATGCACAAAGAACATAATTTTAAGACCCTAGCTCTGTAACACAGAAAGTGTGATAAATACATCGTACATTAAATGCTGATCTTCTTTCATCGCTTCTGTAATAAATTTGAAAGAGAGGGTCGTTCCATTTCTTCAGTTTGGAGATTAAGTATCATACAGCTAGCAAAGAACGTAGGTTTTGTCACAGATTACTAATGTTGGAGAAAAAACTTCATTGCCTCCAAGACACTTTGACCTTTCAAGGAAATGTTGCTCCACTGTTTTCGTGAAAGTCCCCTGTCATTGCTGCTCCTTGGAACGGTTGCAGTAACCTATCAAGAATTGCGATTGCCAATTGCCGTTATTTCGTTTGTGTTCTTGATTTCTGTTCCGTGCCGCCTATCTCAGTGATTTGAGTGATTGAAATTATGTGTTTGTAAGGTTGCCTGTAGTTTTACTTTAACATTTGATGTTCCCCTTCTTCTTTGGCAGGTTTTCGCATCGGCGTTTTTCAAGTGATTACAATAGACTCCCTTGGTAATGCAGCAAGTGACGTGTACGATTGCAGGTGACGGAGGTAGGGGACACCTGGTATGTAACAAAGGTAAGCAGGTATATATCCCCCGTTCTCCGATATCTTGAACCGGCAGCTTCCTCGAGTCCCAGGAGGCCTGCCTCGGGAATGCATTTACTTTTCTCTGAATGTGTACGATTACAGGACGCTGAATTCAAGACCCACGTCCTGGAGATTACCTTATCGGGGTTGAGATATCCAGGCTCCGGAGACCCCTCAACGGCGGCGCAGGCCCCACAGTCCCTGCCCGACTTTATACATATCCTCAGCAAGGACGAAAACGCTCCAGGCTAATCCGACGGTAGTTAAAAACAAAAGAAAGAACAATAGTTAGTAGTATTAAAATTACTAGTAAGCTGCACAGGTCGAAAAGTGGTTAGTGATTCTAACTGCCGTACCGAAGAGCCCGGGTTCAAACCCTGAAGAAGGCATAGATGTAAATTGTCTGACCCTTCATATGAGGTAACGGTGACCGCCTATTAGGTGCCTGAATAAAAAAAAAAAACACCTGTTCTGGCCTCAATAGTGGCCAAAGCCTAAAATGGCTAGTGCCCACTATTGAAAATGAATAATCACTTGAAAATTGTCACTTATTGAGAATTTACAAGTGTTAGTGAGCAATTTAATATGGAAAATAAGTTAATTTAATTATCTAAAATAATTAATTACCAAAAAGAGCACGCTATAAATAACGGAAGACTATAAACATCGCTATAAAAATGAAACGGAGTTATAAACAATATTAAATAACAATATTTATAAGATAACTTGGGCAATGTTATTGGGTTCAGGCTCGCAAAAAATAGTTAGTTGCAATACTTTGTTTTAGCATTCTTTTCTCCAAAACTCAGTGATTTTATCTTGCGAATTCTTGTCATTCAGAAGACTGTTGTCTTGTCTTTCCTAGCAATCAAGAAAGTAATAATAAAGCAAATTTACTTTAAATAAAATTATTGATAATTACCAAAACTACTTCGCAGTAAAATAATCAAAGGTAATACGCATTGCTGGCTTGGCTTTATAAAAACTCGAAGAAACAGAGAGCCAGAGATAAAGCGAGGGATAAAGCGAACAGGAAAGCGTCTGTCAGTTGTTCATTGTTGGAGCGGTGCATCTGCTATTCGTTTGCTTTTATAATTGCTCATGTATTTCAGTAGCAGTTACCGTGCAATACAAGATTAAAAGCTACATACTCGATTTATTTAGGATTAAATAGCATAGTTTTGACGGATGATTTAACAATGTTTACATATTCTGAATTATGAACCGTTACCAATTAGTATAACATCAGTTGTTCACTGCTGCTATTCCATCCATTCTTCTTTTCATTTTCCATTTTTTATAAGCAATATTGGTTTCATTTAACAGTTTGTAATAATAATTCTTTTATTAATGCGCAATAAACAAATTTCATTTTTTAGACGGTGTCCGACCAATCCTTAACCCGGTTTTCCCGCTCCCTGTTAATTGGGAGTCTGTTGTATTTCCATTGCCACATTCTTTCGAATACTTAATAATTACATAGATTTCATTACAATGAAAAAACAGGAGATATGCTATTCGAGAGTTTCATAATTTTTTGCTGTACCGGTAACTATGAGAACTAGATTACTCCTATTTAAATTTTTCAAGTGACTATCTTGCAATCCATATTACCAAGTTTCATTTTTGTTCGATAACCTCTGCTGTCGTTAGGGATCGTAAGTTGATGAAAATACTTTATCCGCATCCTTTCTCCTCCGGGTCGTAACAACTATTGGTTTGGAATGCTTGCTGCCATAAACGCTATAAGGATGTTTTGTTTAGTAATTACGATATAAACGTTAACTGTCTCATCAACAATACTGTTTATTCCAGGTTTATGTGTATTGACTCTGAGCAAATTGCATATGAATAACAACAGTAGTAAGAGGCTCATGACAGCGCACCATTTTCTAACGTTTCCTGAATTTTACTATATATACATTCAACGCTGTTGGCCCAAAACATTATAGACTAACCCTCTTGCAGAATGAATAACAATAATATGTTTGCTACCAGAGCCATCTTTTCTGCCAGAGGCTGGAACATTATACGAAAATTTGCCGATATTATCTGCAACCTTCTAGACGCCATCAGCTTTTGACTTATGAATTATATTTCATTCAACAGCCTTCTATAGAAATTCAAAAGGATTTAAACCCAGGAAATTTGAAGGCCAGTGGAAGATGAGAATTGATATGGGAGTCATTTGAACCAGATGTGAGAAGTAGGATTATTGGAATGATTGATTAGCTTTCCAAAATAAACTATCCTTTTCTGATTACATGAAGGCTCATTTCGACATTTAATATCTGTAAATATTTTATCCCCCTAGGGCTGGACTGAGTGGAAATAACCAACGTTGTGGCTAACACATGTATTTAGACAGACTCGGCTCCTGGGGCACATAATCAGTCTTCACGGTGACTTGAACCATTGACAAATCGGTGGTCCGTTCAGGCGGGGTACGGACTACCGATTTCTCGGCGGGGTAAGGACCGTAACGTCAAGTCTGTCTCGGTCTGCGTGATTG